GCGCCCGGGCAGCTCAGCGCTAGCTCGGCGCTGGCTCGGCGCCGGCGCCGCGGTGGCGTCGCTTCTGCACTCTCTGGCGGAGCCAAAGTTGCGATGCCACACGCGTTCGCTTGCCGTACTATGTTAGAATCGTTGTTGTTCGATTTGTCATTGTAATTCCTAAATGGAGGCACTGCTTCATAAAATTACCTCCAGATCAAGGGCCCAGGCCTTTGACGGAACGTGACGAAACTCACTGTTAAAATCTAAAAGACCTTATTAAGTCAAATGCGGCACCATGTGCACACCGCTCCGAAACGTGCTAATTTGGGAAAGCAATACTATTGGTACAACTTGAAGTTTAGAAGCAGTGTGCTCTTGTTGAATCTTCCAGTGGAGCGCAGAGAAGCAATCAAGATGGTAAGCGATGGAAAACTCAAGATTCGTACAGCACCGAACTGAAAAGCTCTTCGTCGCAGTTTCGTCTCCTTCCCGAACATGTGCAAACGGAGTTCGGTAGCTATTACTTCACTGTAATCATTACATATGAAAGAATCGTAAGGGGTAAACTATGCATTTTTTGCAGAGAAGGACTTTTGAGCATCCTTCCCTCCTTTAAAATATCGCTGCGGGATCTTGATATGTGCATTTGGACGGTCCTTTAGTTTGTGCGGATATGAAAGAGGCATTCACTCCAAGAATTCGTTACATTCGTTTTTTGTGTTTGTTTTTTTGTCTCTAGTCTCGAAACCCCTATTTTCGGAAAAGAACTTTCGCGGCAAGCTTTGTCCTCAAACAAGTGTGAGAGGCAATTTAACCTCAAAATTCAAAACTGTGCTTCCTTTCAGGTATGCGTTTCTCTCTACGGCCGCCATAAAAGCTCCTTATCTCCACTAGAAACCTTTTTACAAGGATGTCACAGATTTTCGTCTTTTTTCCCAGCTTCGTTCGCTTACATTGGCATTTCCAGTAGAGACAAGTATCCTTGAATGTTGCCTCACTTCAGACCCATTTTCTTGCCTTTTTAGGAGAGATTTTCAAAATTTTAACAGCATTTTCATTTAAGAGCTTGTCTTCTTCTTTCTATTGGTACCATTTTTGGCAGCCTATTTTCAATTTTTGCTGAGTCATGAGCGTTTGAATTGTTCCTTTTCTTTTACAGAAACGTCATTTGTTAAGGCCATGGTTTATACGGTAGGGGGTCAAAATCAATATTGCTAAATTTGGTCTAGGGAGTTTTCTGACCTGCTGATCGCGATTATCATACTTCTGCATTCTGGCCCCTTTTCATGGAATCACGGTGGGTATAATGTATGGGGCTGAAAATACGAGTATGCTCGAAACTTCGCCTATGGATTTATTTAGCCCGCTGAACATGAATATCATACGATTTCCCAATTAGCGCCATTTTCTTAGCACATGGGTGTACGGTAGATGGGTCGCAGTTCCAAATTTGCTCAGAACTTTGGCTTGAAAGTTTTTCAAGGAATCTGGTTATTTTATGTTTGCTCCGGCATCAATGCCTTGTTGTGGAAGTACGGTAATTCGTGGCGTGTGGAGAGACATTTTTTCATCTTTCGGGCTAATTCAAATCACAAAAAATTTTCTAAAGGCTTTATCGTGCGAAATGAGCACAATCCGCTTGACCAGCAGAACAGATGATTTTCAGGCAAGTAAATGATTTTTAACCGTATACCATACCAGTGCGTCACCTCTGCTTCGCAGAGGCTCGCACTGGCCCTATTTTCCGTATGCCTTACTCATTCCCACATAATAATGACATTGAAACTCACCGCGCTATGTAGGCTATCACGAATAATTCGTAAACAACTACTCATTCGTAGAGGTTTTCCATGTGAGATCGGTATTTTCGCGTGGATAAAACCTTTCCCAGAAGAACAGATGCAGATTCGAATAGGTTTTTGGAATTTTTATGGCTTGGTAGTCGCCGTAAGGACAATAAACATAGTGGGCTACATCGCTGTGCAAGAATCTTCTCAAATGATCAGGTAGAATCTTGAAAAATTGACCGTTTACACAGCGAAAGCTTCTTGGCGCTGTTTTCGTAAAGTAGTAGACTTTTCATTACTTTTTAGGCTAACATCTATGGCTTGCACATTAGCTTGTCAAATATATCCTTAACTCTGCAAAAAGTAGTACTACGGACCCAAATTTGCTGGCCAGAAGCAAAGTGGATCCGTTTGATGCGCAATTTTCAATGGATTCACTCAACGGATCCGCTCATGATTTTGTATAGTGAGCTTTCATGCTGGTAGCGTGCGCTATGCAAAATTTGGGCTCAGGACGTTGGCTGGAACACGCTCTACGAATTTCGTGACAGACAGAGATTCACACACACACACACACACACAGGCAAACGTAAACAACCCTTAGCCCGTTATTATAATACCATATATCTACCGTAACTCCACCACGAAAAGGTCCCAAAATGCAAGGAGAGTGTGATGCCTGTGATCAGCATGTAGAGTGACCCTTCTAGACCGAATTCCAACCGAACTTGAGATTTTGTTTGCCTACCGTAAACCTATCATAATTTCATGAAAGGGCCCTATAATGGAGAAAGAATGCGATAGTCATGATCAGCATGCCGAATAACACCCCTAGCGACGTTAGCGAAATTTTAATTCTGGCCCGCTACCACATACCCACTGTGGACTCGAAAAAGAGCTATTGCGCAAAAATGATAGTCAATGGTTTCAGGTCGAATACCTCCCTCTCCCCTCCCCCTAGACCAAGTTTGAGCAGGATCACTTCGAAACTTGGGGCATTGGAATAGCTCCGTTCAAACTAAGTCAGCATGGCCATCAACAGCAGAGTCGGGCTTGAAGGCAGTGTCTCACCAGAATTTGCGTCTCGGGGTTTTTGCAAACTACTACCCATTACGACCTTGTATACCCCCCAAACGGGCTTAAATCCGTTCAAAAATCCGAAAAACTCTGTTGTTTGGAGACTCCGTAGAAGCAACGCGGACAAGCTGTCCCGATTTGCCTTAGCCTTGGCCGCCGGGTCAGACATGTCAAGATGGAAGGCGTCGCTTGGAAAGACTCGTTGAGACGCGACAAGGAAACCGATAAGTCGTTTAGCGAGCCGAAAAGCGCTTCGCGCGCCACTTTGAACTCAATTTTCCTGAAATAAAAGAGACTTACAAGGGAAGGAAGGTTGGTCGAAGTGGCCTTTTTGAATGAGGTTATACTGCCTTGTAAAGCTTGGAACGCTGATTCATTTACTTTTGCTATCTGCTGCGGGCTTCTGGGCGAGGAGTTATGAAGGTTTTTGTGAGTAAAAATCTATACGCAGAAATAGGGTAAAATCAGTCGTAACCTTTTTTCAATGTTTAAATGAGGCAGCAGTGAATTGGTGTATTTGAATCAAGAATATGTTGCACCGAGTGACCCGACTACCAATTAAGCCATATAAAAAATGTTACGACTGATTTTAGCCTACTCTTGCATTCAGATTTTTACTCACAAAAGCCTTCATGAGTCCTCGCCCAAAAGCCCGCAGCAGATAGTAAAGGTAGATTTGGAATCAGCGTTCCAAGCTCTACAAGGTAATATACATCTCATTTCAAAAGGCCACTTCGGCCAACCTTCCTTTCCTTGTTAGTAGAACGGGACTTGGCATTGGCCTGAGAAGGGGACTTCCTAATGAAATCTGTAAAATCCGGTATACCTCCAATACAGTGAGATGCTGTCTTTAAGCATGAAGTTTTTGGAAACTCTGGTGGGAACCTGATCAATGCAGTGATTGGGGGGGGGGGGGGAGGCAGAAGGGAGAGACAGAGGATTTTTGAGAAGGATACTGAATTTTTTGGCATTGTAAAGTGTTAAGAAATTGTGCAGCAACCAGAACTTGGGAAGATTTGAAAAAGAAGCTCTCGGATTTTGGCACTGAAAAGTTGAGGGGAACGGTGTAAACATTGTGGACAAAATACTTTGAAGGAGGAGGAAAATATTGTGTCTTTGGCAGTAAGCTTTGAGAAAAGGGGATTTTGAAGACAGGATAGCTCTTTGAGTAGAAAGAATGGATAACATGATTATGGATTAAAGGAAAACTTATGGCCTTTTGGCTTAGGAAATTGGACAGGAGAAAGATATTGCAAGGCTAGATTGAGAAGGAAGTTAGACGCCTCTAATGCTTTGACGGAAAAAGAAGCTAGCGAATGAATTTACACCGAAAGAACACACAATACATCAGCTAGGAAAAGTTACAGAAAGGAGGGCTACGGAAAGGATGCTTTATGAGGAGGAAAAGCACTTATTTGGTTATCTCATGCGCAGGACGAGTTTGGAGGAAAAGTATGAGTAGGGTGTGCAAGTCCATTTCCGAGAATGAGCTTCTCTGAATGCGACATCTAGACAATTCTTTGTTCATCTAAGCGATCTTTTACGAACAGTCGTACTTTTGTCATTCAAACTTATATGCACATCGTGCATTTCCAGCAGATCTTTCTTATCAAAACATTAGTGAACAAAATTTGACCTTTTACGATATTGAAAAGTGTTATCCGAGGTTTTGGTGACTCATTATGACAGTTCTCACACCTGATAGCCATCGGGCCGCTAGTCACTTCATAAAGATAAAGGCAGCGTCTAGGCAAATCTGGAGCTATGGGGTTTTTACGTGAAAAGTAATTTTGGGGCCCTAACTAAGGCACTGCTAAAGCGGCAACGCAGGTGACTCACTAACGGCCAGATATACGCCTGGACCCCAGGATCGTATTTCGCATGGATTCATGGCGCAACCCATCAGTTTCGCGCGAAGACCCTCGGCTTGAGCCATGAACCAAGCGAAATACGATCCTGGTGTCCAGTTTCGAGGGGAATATCTCAACCGTTAGAGCACTACCTGAGCTGTCGCTTGGGCAGTAGCTTAGTTAGGCCCCCAAAATCACTATCCACGTGAGATCCCCGTATGTCCAGATTTGCCTGGACGCTGCCTTTTACTCATTATTAAAACAGTGCCTTCAACTAGAATAAAAACAGCTTATGTATACTAACTCGCAGGTCTTCCATAATCATATCATTTTGCTTTTCGAGCAATTCTCTGTAAGCGTTGCCTTCATCATCATCTCCATCACCTCCATTTCTGTCACTATTTCTGATTTTTCGAGTAGCTACATCGCCATGTGCATCACGCTTATCGCGGGTAACATCTCCGTCTCCTCCAGATGAATTTTCTACCCCTTCACACGATACTAGAATCAGGCAGGCAAAGAGTACCCACGTTTCCTGTAAAGCTCAAAAGAACATCAGCATCGAAAAGCAACACAAACCGCACCTTTAACGCCATGCTAGTGGAATGAGCATCGCTGGGAAATGAAAGCTCAATGATCGTTACATCAATCTTTCTGCTGATTACTGTCAAGTTTGGGAAAGCAATGTCTACCATCTACTATAGATGAAGCTAGATGTTTCCGGCATTGCATCCTCATGAGAGGGCGCCAAAGTCCTTACAGGGGAATCCAATTTGAGTGTCACGGTGGGAGCAGCTCGGGTCTTCGCGAGCCGCCTCGCTTGGGCCATTCGACGTACGTGTCTCGGGGCATTTCTCCAAGCTCGTTAGCCATTGTGGTCTAAGACCCCGGACAGACTTCACGCGATTTGATCGTCGCGACTCAATCGCCGACATTTCCATTCATTTCCATTTCACATTCAAAAATTTCGGGCTGGAAAAGTATCACAACGAAATGCAAGTTGATCGGCATGGAATGATGTTGTAACAGTTGTCTCGTCGCGATTTAGTCGCGACGATCAAATCGCGTGGAGTCTGTCCGGGGCCTAAAGGGCCGGGCATACTTCAAGCGATTTCAGTCGCCACGCGATTTGGCAATATTCCAACTCGCCATAACTTATTGTAAGCACATTTTAAATGTAGAGAATATAGAGCATTTTATCAATCCATGTAAATTATACACACTATGCATGTGCAGTTTGCTAGTGTTGGATCTGAAAACTTCTGACGAATTGTCAAATCGCATCGCGACTAAAATCGCGTGAAGTATGCCCGGCCCTTAAGAATATGGTATTTCCCATATCCGTAGACGTCAGTGGGACTAAACTTGGGAAAATACAGTCGAGTAGATTTTCCGCTTAATATAGTGTGCTTGCACAGTTTATGAAATGCTGTGAAATTTGCTGAACAGGTATCGTCCCCTCCACAGATCGTGCCCCTTGTGGCGTAGCGGACGTGCCACGTGTGACTAACACATTGGCAACGTTGGCAGCAGCACGTTGGCAACATGCAGCAACATGTTGGCGTGGCCAAAATGTTATGCCAACATGTTGGGGCATGTTGCAAACATGTTGTTGCCACGTTGCCAACATGTTAGCCACAGTGGCAGGTCTGAGACGCAGACCAAGAGTAGCACGATCTGTGGAATGGACGATAGCTGCGCCAGCACTGCCGGCATTTTGCGCGCAATTGGCCGGCGTCACAGTCGAAGCTACAGTCGAGTAGATTTCCTGCTTAATATAGTGTCCCTGCAGACGCGACAACGCTAGGGCGTCAGTAATTGCTTTGCGAGTTCCCGAGCTAGTGTTTTCCAATGTTTTCTTTGCTTATTTCATGCTTTTTAGTTGAGCCGCTGCTGATAAAGAAAAAAAGGGTAAGTTAGAGAGTAGTTTCTCTTTTCTGAGAATTCTATCATCGCATATTCACAGATATCCACGTGGAAGCATTTCGCGTCAGCTCCTTGTCTATATTTTTGTCATTTCCTTTTCTTCTGTTACTTCTTCTTCTTCTTTCAAACCTCCTCCTTCTTGTGAGGCGTTTCTTTGAACGCTAATTGGCTTGTCTTGCAGCAACTTCGGCTTTCACCCATAAGAAATAGCATTTTAATCAAGTACTTCATGTGATAAAGACAATAAGTCAATCGTAAAAACCCACTAGCGTTTAAAGAAGTACTTTACAAGAAGAAAGAGATGTGAAGTGACAAAAAAAAATAGACAAGAAGCTGACGCGAAGTGCTTCCACGTGGATATCTGTAAATATCCGATGATAGAACTTCTCAGAAAACAGAAACTACTTTCTAACTTACCCTTTCTTCTTTATTAGCAACGAATCACCTAAAAAGCATAGAATAAGCGAAGAAAACACTGGAAAACACTAGCTCGGTAACTCGTAAGGCAATTATTGACGCCCTAGCGTTGTCGTGTCTGCAGGGACACTATATTAAGCAGGAAATCTACTCGACTGTAATTCCTCACGCACAAATTTTACCGCATTTCACCTTCTGTGCAAGCGCACTATATTAAACGGACAATCTACTCGACTGTACCATATCCGCTGAGGGAATGCGGCGATAGACCCAAGCGTCACGAGGATCCGAGCCGCACCTACGCTGATATAAACTGGATTTCCCTATAGCTAAGACTGTTTTTATACTAATGTCCAAGTGCCGGAACTGAAGAACGGACCTGTGTTGCTCTGACTGTGCCGAGAGGAGTGAATAATAATTTTAAGTGCTTTTAGGTTTTCGCTGGGAATTCCGCTCGGTTTTTTCATATAGTTGAATTTCTCTTATACCAAAGGGTCTAAATGGTTTCACTTTTGGAGCAGAGAGTTATCAAGTCTGAATCTTGTAGACATAGACAACTAACTCATGGCTAGTGTGGTGCAAAGTAAGGCTCAAAAGACGTTCAAATCACGACTGAGAACTCTTTACGTCACCAATTTATTGAAATAGTTGAAGTAGCATTATGGAGCAAATATATTATCAGAGTCTTTTGATTGGTTCTCCGATTGTTTTTCGAGGCGTGCCCTTCTGAAAAGAGATTTTGTTTATTAAGAACACATATTCGAAAAGTTACTTGGGGAAGTAGGAAACATATAGGAATTTTTAAGGATAGACTTACTTACTGATGAGCGATCTTAAAGGCAGTGGCTCGGCAAAACTCAACAACTCAATATTTTAACGCGGTAGACTCCTTATTGCCCAAGTATGAAAACAGTGCAATCCCGGTTGCACAGCATGCCTTCCTTGCCGAGAGAATTGCTTCAAACTTACACGCGCAGGCCATTCTTACACGCATCTGGACGAGTTGGCAATTTCCTTCTCACCATTGGAGGCTGCCCGCCGCCGCTATAACCATTGGGTCCTGCAACGATTCGGCGTCATCAGCCTTGCAGCACTCGTCCAATTCCAAAGGGAAGGGCACCGGAAAACGGTCGTTTTCGGCATTTTCAAGCTCTCAAAAGTGGATTTTCGGAATCAGCGTATTGAATAACCCCAGGTAAGCGAAAATTTGACTATGTTGAGATTTGCCGAGCCACTGCTTCATGGAACTAAAACCACAGTGTTTGAAAAGTGAAGGGTTTCGTTTGGCAGCGGCTCGGCAGATTCTGCACTTGAAGTTTTTTGCTTACCTGAGTAATTCGAGACGCTGATTCCGAAAATCCGCCTTGAAGAGCGCGAAAATGGCAAAAACCACCATTTTCCAATTCCTACCATTTTGAATTTGGACGAGTGGAGCACGTTCCGCCATGGTTAGAGACGCAGAATCGTTGCGGGACCCTCGCAGTCATAACATTGCGGCATGCCTTCTCTGACGGGTCAGGGAGAATCGCAAGCTCGTCCGCGCGTATTAAAATGGCTTGCGTTCTCGTGTTTGGGGTGCAAGCAACCTTCCATGTCAAAATTTCGGGATGTTCGGTTTTTGCGAGATGTGACTTCAAACTGGCGGCCTTCGTTACCCTACTCGTGAACAAGCGGCAAAATCAGCGGTTCGTGTCAGTTTTGCATAATTAGTCATGAAATTATTGTTTTTAAGTACCCAACAAATTCTCCAGGGAAAGCGTCTGTCGATCTTTTGATCAAACAGGAGTTTGCAACTAGGTTCCGCTCAAAACCTTGTCTAGAAAACTGCAGAGGAGATTAGGCATGCCGGCAAGGCTAGCCGACTCATACCAACACCTGCTAGCCAAATTTCCCCTTTCTCTCAGGCAGTAACGCCGCTTCTGGTGGCTCGATTTCCGCGCGACCGCCTAATTTTAGATCGTCCGATCATTTCCCTACGTTTGCTTGGAAAAGTAGGCGTGCAAATGATCGGGAGCACTCTGCAAACGCGATGCAAAGCCCGAGCGAGGTGGTCGCGCGTGATTTGCTTGAGATGGCAGCGTTGCTAATGAGAGCCCAATAAAGTTGGCAGCTACGAAATTTGAAGAGTTGCATTTAGATTAGATGCACATTTACTGTTTCTATTAAAATTACGAAGCCATCAAAACTTCGGCAACTAATCTAGCCTCATACATCCATAATTACCAATCCTACATTGTAAAGCCTTTGATATGAATATTTGTTTGCAATTAATTCATGCGATCAGAATTTCGCGATGTGTTTTTAGATCTAGTGCGAGCATGAGAAAAGGGATAAGACAGGGAATTCAGTGCGAACCTCTGTTAAGGGGCCGGGCATACATTACGCGAGTTCACGCCTCGCGATTTTTCCGACAAGACAACTGTTACGAGTCCATTGCATGCCAAACATCTTGCATTTCGGTTATAATAGTTAGTCGTGATTTTGCTTCGGAAAACCATCACAACCGTTATGCAAGCCTAATTGCAGTGAACTCGTAATACTTGTCTTTTGATGAATCGATAAGGCGATGAATCGCGTGATGTATGCTCAGCCCTTGAGCAGAAGAGCTTTTGTGAATAAATCATAGCTTATAGATATAACTAAAGGTGGTATTGTGAGTTGATTGAAATTACCCTCACACATTGCCACTAATATTTTTGCGCTGGTGCTTGAATTTTGCTAAGAAATTACACCAGACCTCCAACATCTTGGTCAGGAAAATTTGAAAAATATGGTAGCCTGCCAAAATCAAAATTTGTATAATAAAGTTGCGATAGGTCTTCCATAATTATATCATTCTGCTTTTCGAGCAATTCTCTATAAGCATTGCCTTCAAACAATGTATGTATACTAACTCGCAGGTCTTCCACAATTATATCATTCTGCTTTTCGAGCAATTCTCTGTAAGCATTGCCTTCATCATTATCTCCATCACCTCCATTTCTGTCATTATTTCTGATTTTTCGAAAAGCTACATCGCCATGTGCATTACGTTTATCGCCGGTAACATCTCCGTTTCCTCCAGATGAATTTTCTTCTCCTTTACTCGAAATTAGAATCAGGCAGGCAAAGAGTAACCACGTTTCCTGTAATGCACAAAAGGACATCAGCATCGAAAAGCAACACAAACCGCACCTTAACCGCCATGCTACTGGAATGAGCATCGCTGTGTGCGAGAGCAAAAGCTAGTCATTACATCATAAAGCAATGATCATTGCATCGATCTTTCTCCTAACGACTGTCAAGTTTTAGGAAGCAATGTCTACGATCTACTAGAGAAGAAGCTAGATAAGTTTCGGTAGCGCAGAGGATTCCAATCTGAGTGCCACGGTGGGAGCGGCTCAAGTCCTGACGAGCTGCCCGCTTGGGCTCCTGAAGTACGTGTCTTGGGGCAATTTCCCAAGCCCGTCAGCCATTGATGTCTAATAAGGGAAGGATACTCAATCGCAGTGACGATTGGGTAAGCGGTGTATACAGCGTATAAGGTCTCCAGATGGTAATCTTTGAACCGCACTCCATAACTGCCATGAGTCATTCTGAAGGAGCTTTGTAGGATTTTGCAAAAACGCAAAACCAGCGGCATCGAACCCACGACATCCAGCTCAGCAGTCCAAGCCACTATCCATTACACCAATCGACCTCGTTAGTGAGGCAAGCTATTTCTTGAATGCGACCGAAGCAACAAAAATCCTTTATAGCTCTTCCAAAATGACGTAATAGGAGGTACGGAGTGCGGTTTGAAGATCCACCGTTTGAGGACGGTATACGCGGTATACACCGCTTACACAATCGCCACTGCGATCGAGTATCCTTCCCTCGTAAGAATATGGTATTTCTCATATCCGTAGACGTCAGTGAGACTAAGCTTGGAAAAATACCGGATCCGCTGAGGGCAAACGCGGATAGACCCAAGCGTCGCGAGGACCCGAACCGCGCCGACGATGACACAAACTGGGATCCCCTATGGCTAATACTGTTTTTGTACTAATGTCCAAGTGCCGGAACTGAAAAACGGAGCTGTGCCGCTCTGACTGTGCCGAAAGGATATGATTGAGAATTTTAAGTATTTTTAGGTTTGCTGAGTATATACAGTGACCGCCAAAAAGTTGCGGACAATTTGCCTTCATTCTTTCATCGGCCATTTTCAGATGGATAACAAAGATGAAAAAATGTTTGGATTGCATGTGGTGATAGAGCTCTTCAAGAGCTACAACCTAAACTCTGAGCTTTATCAAAAACATGTATCCTAAAAATTGTAAAAATCTTTCTTTATAAAAAAGGTCCAAAAATGGCCGCGTCACAATGCCGCGGAGAATAATTCTTCGAACGCGAAAATCTTCTTGTAGGTCTTTTTTTGCAGCAAAAACAAACGTTCTCCGGACAGGTAAGCATACTGTATTGTAGAACTCCTCGATGACAATAATCGAGTAGTGGTTGCTTTTAAAAAACCCGAGCTTAAATTTTATTTTGCTTCTTTCCAAAAAAATAACTTCTAGTTTCCCTGCTTCAAGCCAGATTTCTTCACAAGGAAACCTATTCAAGACATTCCAACAAAGCTATTCGGATTGAATGGATGCCCTTTGCCATCTTCTATGCATCGGACGTGTGCTGGTGAGTTTCTTTGCTGAAAATAGCTTTGACAGTGCGTGCACATGACCCCACCTGCACTTCACCACTGACTTGCACCGCTTTGCAGGCTTGTAGCTCGGCCAGCAGTCATTCTACGAGCTGCAAGTAGGCTCACTCGAAAGCGCTTGACTTCCTGGACACGATGGTATGCAAAAGAGTTGGGTAGGAAAAATAGCGGAGAAATGGCGGATGGGGAGAAAAAGCATAGCGTTAGAGGTGATTGGAGTGGAGGCTCTTATCAAAACCAGAACATTCCTGAAGCGGATCTATTACAAGAACATTGACAGTTTTCAACTTCCAGAATGAAACTTGTAGCGAAAGAAGCTCTGTTCAACATTAGCTGGACCCAACTCTTCTGCATATCGTCGTGTCCATGAAGTCAAGCGCCTTCAAGTGAGACTACTTGCAGGCTCGTGGAGTGACTGCTGGCAGAGCTACAAGCCTGCAAAGCGGTGCAATTCAGTGGTGGGGTGCAGGTGGGGTCATGTGCACGCACTGTCAAAGCTATTTTCAGCAAAGAAACTCACCAGCACACGTCCGATGCATAGAATGGCAAAGGGCATCCATTTTATCCGAATAGCTTTATTGGAATGTCTTGAATAGGTTTCCTTGTGAAGAAATTTGGCTTGAAGCAGGGAAAATAAAAGTTATTTTTTGGAAAGAAGCAAAATAAAATTCAAGCTCGGGTTTTTTTGGAAGTAACCACTACTCGATTATTGTTCTCGATGAGTTCTACAATAGAATATGCTTACCTATCCGGAGAACGTTTGTTTTGCTGCAAAAAAAGACCTACAAGAAAATTTTCGCGTTCGAAGAATTATTGTCCGCGGCATTGTGACGCGGCCATTTTTGGAAGTTTTTTTAAAGATTTTTACAATTTTCAATGTTTTTGATAAAGCGCAGATTGTAGGCTGTAGCTCTTGAAGAGCTCTATCACCACATGCAATCCGAACATTTTTCATCATTGTTAGCCATCTGAAAATGGTCGATGAAAGAATGAAGGCGACTTGTCCGCAAATTTTTGGCGACCACTGTATATATTTTCGCTCATTTTCATATATTTAAACTTCTCTTATATCAAAGGGTCTAAATGGTTTCACTTTTGGAGCAAAGAGTTATTAAGTCTGAATCTTGTAGGTATAGACAACTAACTCATGGCGAATGTGGTGCAAACTAAGGCTCAAGACGTTTAAATCACGATGAGAACTCTTTACGTCACCAATTTATTGAAGTAGTTGAAGCAGCATTATGGAACAAATATATTATCAGAATCTTTTGATTGGTTCGCCGATTGTTTTTCGAGGGGTGCTTGCTTGCTTGCTTCCCTTGCCCTGCTGAAAAGAAATTTTATTTATTTAACACATATTCGAAAAGTAACTTGAGGAAGTAGAAAACATATAGGAATTTTTCAAGATAGACTTACTTACTGATAAGCGATTTTAAAGAACTAGAATTACAGTGTTTGAAAAGTGAAGGGTTTCGTTTTGTCAACAGCAACAATGTGTCGTGTGGGATTGAGCGGTTTGCGAACAAGGGGTAGGGGAACGAAAGTCGCCAGTTTGGGCCGCCTCCGCGGACCATTGGTCCTGAAACGATATGCAACAACACCATAAAAGGATTGGCAGGTCGCGAAAGGCGGCTCAAAGGCAGCGGCTCGCGAAAGGCGGCTCAAAGGCAGCGGCTCGGCAGATTCTGGACTTGAAGTTTTTTGCTTACTGGGTAATAACAAGGGGCTGATTCCGAAAATCCGCCTTGAAGAGCGCAAAAATGCAAAAACCACCATTTTCCAAGGCCTACCATTTTGAATTTGGACGAGTGGAACACGTCCCGCCATGGTTAGAGACGCAGAATCGTTCCGGGACCCTCGCAGTTATAACATTGCGGCATGCCTTTTCTGACGGGTCAGGAAGAATCGCAAGCTCGTCCGCACGTATCAAAATGGCTTGCGTTCTCATGTTTGGGGTGCAAGCAACCTTCCATGTCAAAATTTCGAGATGTTCGGTTTTGGCGAGCTGCTGACTTAAAACTGGCGGCCTTCGTTCCCCTACCCGCGAACAAGCGGTAAAATCAGCGGTTCATGTAAGTTTTGCATAATTAGTTAGGAAACTATTGATTTTAAGTATCCAACAAACTCTCCAGGGAAAGCGTCTGTCGATCTCTTGATCAAACAAGAGATCCTGATAAGGGAATGACTCGATCAGATGCGGACGTTGACGCATGCGATACACAACTAGGTTCCGCTCAAAACCTTGTCTATAGAAACCTGCAGAGGAGATTAGACATGCCCGCAAGGCTAGCTGACTCATACCAACACCTGTTAGCCGAATTTCCCCTTTGTCTCAGGCAGTAACGCCGCTTCTGGTGGCTCGAATTCTGCGCGATTGCCTCATTTTTAGATCGTCCGGTCATTTCCCTACGTTTGTTTAAAAAGGTAGGCGTGCAAATGATCGGGAGCACTTTGTAAACGCGATGTAAAGCCCGAGCGAGGTGGCGCGCGTGATTTGCTCGAGACGGCACCGTTGTTAGTGAGAGAGAGGTATATAGGCTAAACCGTTGAAAACTACTGTCTCTCGATTTTGCTTCCTGCTTTAAACTGCTTGACTACAGCTACTGCCCTTTCGTTTTGTATACAAGTCTTCTGGGCTCATCAATAGAGTTGGATTCAGCTACGAAATTTGAAAAGTTGCATTTAGATTAAATATACATTAATTACTGTTTATATTAAAATTATGAAGCCATTAAGACTTCGGCAACTATCTAGCCTCATACATCCATTACCAATCCTACATTGTAAAGCCTTTGATTTGAATATTTGTTTGCAGTTAATTCATGCGATCAGAATTTCACGATGTGTTTTTAGACTTAGTGCGAGCATGAGAAAAGGGATAAGACAGGGAATTCAATGCGAACCTCTGTTAAGGGGTCGGGCATACATTACGCGAGTTCACGTCTCGCGATTTTTCCGACAAGACAACTGTTACGAGTCCATTGCATGCCAAACATCTTGCATTTCGGTTGTAATAGTTAGTCGTGATTTTGCTTCGGAAAACCATCACAACCGTTATGCAAGCCTAATTGCAGTGAACTCGTAATACTTGTCTTTTGATGAATCGATAAGGCGATGAATCGCGTGATGTATGGTCAGCCCTTGAGCAGAAGAGCTTTTGTGAATAAATCATAGCTTATAGATATAACTGAAGGCGGTATTGTGAGTTGAGTGAAATTACCCTCACACATCGCCACTGATGTTTTTGCGCTGGTGCTTGAATTTTGCTAAGAAATTACACCAGACCTCCAACATCTTGGTCAGGAAATTTTGAAAAATGTGTGCAAAAATCAAAATTTGTATAATAAACTTGCGATAGTTCTAGGGCAAAGTTGGCTGAGAGGTTAGCGCCCTTGACTACGGCGAGGAAGGTTACAACTTTGTTACCGCGGCAAGCTTAATTTCTTTGGCAAAACTCTTGTCCAACGAATCCAGCGTCAGGCTGCTTAACCAAGAGAAAGCAAGCGCACAGCGCTGAAGAGGAAACTCCGTCGTCATAAGCGCTTTTGTGTCTCATCGGATATTTCGCGTAAAAGCTAGGGCGTTCTCCGGAGACAACGCAATTTCGAGTTTAACGAGTGCGAAGACAATAGGCAGGGTTACCCTCTTAGCAAGATGAGCGGGGATGGCTAAAGAAGCTAATTCATCCAGGAAAATATACAGGCCCGGCATTACGTCCATGTACCATCAACAACGGTTCACTCACAGCTCGTCATCGCAACCTGGTCCATTTTCTCGGAATGCGTAAAGTAGACAGCGCGTGCATTAAGGAGAGCGAATGGAAGCGTGAAAGGTCGCGTGACATCGGAAGTGGCTACAAGCTTCTGTACAAAGGAATGACCAGCAACAGGAATGGCGTCGGCGTATGGGAACAACGAAACGGTCTTCGTAAGTGCCAAGCAACTACGGATACGGAACACGTGAAAAAGTAGAGCGCAATATGGAGTTAGTTATAGCCCATAACTTAGCCTTGGCGAATACGTGCTTCATCAAGAAGACCAGCCACCTCGTCACGTATGCGAGTGGAAACCACAAATCGCTTATAGACTTCTGGAGTGTAGAACAGCTGAAGTGTGTAAAAGATAGAAAGTCCTCTCAGGTGAAGAATGAGTGTCACAGCACAGGCCACTGATACTGGATCACAGTATCCCTATCGACAGGAGAAGGGCGATGACAAAGCAAGAAGTACGCAACAAATAGCAAAAGCTTGAAGACAACGCCCGCATCAGAACGTTAATGGAATCCGCCCTGGCATTATTGCAAAGTAACACACAGTCCTGGATGCACCTGAAGAACAACATCTATCAGACAGCTGCTAGGCTAGGCCGCACGAAGCCCGGACGACGAAGCTTGGGAAAGAAACATAGTGGTGGAATGACGAAGCCGATCCTGTGAATGAACCAGTACCAGCTAACACATTAGCAGAAGTCCGTGTCGCCATAGTGAAGACGAAGAAGGCAAGGCGACAGGTCCAGGCGACATCGGCAGCTTTTTTTGGAAGAATGCGGACAAGTTAGCGTTCCGTGGCTTACCGACTTCTAACCAGATATCACTGAGAATATGCCAGACGGGCGGGTGGTACAGAAACACGGACGGGTGATACAGAAGCACAACGGTACCAATATGGATGAACAAAGGCGACATAGCCGACTGCTCCTCGTACAAACCGACCCGACTCATATGCCACACGTTAAATATCTTCGAAAGACTATTGGAGACGCGGCTTCGAAGTATCGTTCAACTGGCCCTCCACCATTGCAACTTTGTAAAGGGATGCAGTACAATTGATGAACCATACGTCGGACTAATGATGGAAAGAAGCATGTGAGTTTCAACGGCATTCCTCGATCTGGATAAGGCGTTCGATAGAATACCACATTGCATAATATGGTGATCGCTATGGAAGCACGGGGTGCTAGAAGAATACGTGCGCTGGATCAGGATGATATACAAAGGAGTCACCGCCACGTGCGAACAACAGCAGGACGCTCAGGCGACTTCCAGATGAACGCCGGCATTCATCAAGATTCTGTACTATCGTCGCTTCTCTTCATCGCAGTTGTAGACACGGTAGCGAGAGACTTTATACGCCCACTCCCACAGCCCATCATGTACGCAGATGATGTGATTCTGATGGCGAGGAGCAGGAGAGTATTGGAGACAGATGTACAGATGTGGAAAACGCAACTCGAGCTGCATGGTCTGAAGTTCAGTACCGCGAAGACAGAGTATGTGGAGCTGGGACTTCAAAGGCAGTGGCTCGGCAAATCTCAGCATAGTCAAATTTTCGCTTACCTGGGGTTATTCAATACGCTGATTCCGAAAATCCGCTGTTGAGAATTTGAAAATGCCGAAAACGAGCGCTTTTCAATGCCCTTCCCTTTGGAATTGGACAAGTGCTGCAAGGCTGATGACGCCGAATCGTTGCAGGCAATGGTTATAGCATTGCGGCGGGCAGCCTCCAATGGTGAGAAGGAAATGGCCAACTTGTCCAGATGCGTGTAAGAATGGCCTGCGCGTGTAAGTCTGAGAGCAATTTTCTCGGCAAGGAAGGCATGCTGTGCAACCGGGATTGCACTGTTTTCATACTCGGACAATAAGGAGTCTACCGCGTTAAAATTTTGAGTTGTTGAGTTTTGCCGAGCCATTGCCTTTAAAGCCAGGACTGATCCATGGCAGACACAGCAATCAAGAAGACTATGTCGTTCAAGTATCTGAGAATCACCTATCGTCGGATGGTCCGCTTTACGACGAGACAAACGGCCGAATAGCCGCAGCTTCATTGAGATGGAGAAGACTCACAGGAATTCTCTGCGACAGACGGATGCCACTGAAGCTGAAATCGTAGTTTTATAGCACTGTTATCCGTCCACCCGTGTTTTATAGAAACGAGTGTTATCCAAGCACACGTACGACGAGCGTAAGCTTGGTATGATGGAACCACGTAGCCGCGATGGACGATGAGCGTGACTATGCTCGATCATCACGAATGATACACTACGAACTACGATGAATATAGCTCCGATAGTTAAGAAATTGCAACAAAGACGGCTGATGGTATGGGCACGTGAGAAGACGAGAAGAAGAACACATTACAAGACTAGCAATGTCAGTGGAGGTTCCGGGGAAAGACCACGAGAAAGACAAACTAAGTAAGATGGACGGACCGAGTCAAAGCATACTCGAGAAAACTTGAGTCAGATGAAAGTCAGGTCGAAGATCGAGAAGAATGAGACTGACAAGAGCGGCAGACCCCGTATAGGGACAGATGCAAAGATAAAAAAGTTGCGGTTGTTTTCTAAATACTCATCATTTTTCGGTCAATCTGATAGAATTTAACTTGAAGACTGTGAGACTTGGCCGTGCATTACCCGTGTCAGCAGTTTTACCAGCGTTACCAATGTTAACAATGTTAACCATGTTACAACATTTCATTGTTGCCCGTATTACTAGTGCTAATAGTGAAACCCGTGTTAGCCTTGATACCAATGTTACCACTGTTACTAGTGTTACTAATAAGTATAAAATAGCTAATGTCCACAACGCACAAGATGCGGCGCATATGATATTTAGGGCCTACTTCTAAACATGGTCTTCTGATTTCGCAGCCCAGCACAGGCCTGATGATACAACTCTTGAGGGCGTAAAAACAGCCACCATTTGTGAGGTTTCGTTTGAAAAAATAAGACTGTAGTGGTCACATCTCATTTCTGTTCAAGAGGAGCAAAAGCAGCAACATAATACTTAACACTGGTAACACGCACGTATAGCACTGGTAATACGGGTAGCACGAATAACAACACACTGGTAGGGTGACATGGTACCATGGGTGACTGGCTATGGCTATGGTATGGCTCGAAATTTAACATACCAATTGTCGGTAAGCAACATTTCTTAATATCAAAGCTAGTACGCTATCTTGTACAGCATCCTTCTTCTTTTCTTTTTTCTTTTTGTTCATTGCCTATAATCATAACAATTATGTTAGCAGATACCTACTGTTAACCATTTTCTTTTTACTGCTTATAGGTTAGAAACCCAATGCTCAGTCAAGAACTACTCGAAGAAACTCATTACAACGCTGACAAGGGTCAAGTGTTTTGGAAATTCTATCTTTTTTTGACTTCACCACTTTCATGTAATAAAATCAATAGCTAAATGGGCAGGTACATTTATACTCGAAGACGGATGTTGTGAACGAACTCTTTCTCTTGTTCAGCCTCAATATGGTGCAACTAGTACGAGATTGAAATGTATACCAAGATCTGATCATTTGCTTTTTCAACTACTTGCGTAAAAAACGGTTATATCGATGGTGATTGACGATTGTGTCGAAGCATAAGTTTTTATCAAAAATCCAAGATTTTTCTAGAGCTTTTATAAATGCCGAATGTTCTGCGTAACGATATAACACATGGTCTGGATTCTTTACAAAGGGAACATTACTTTGCATTGGCGTGAGATTCAAGTGTAGGCTATGTTTTGGTGACAAGGTGTTTTCTCATTCGTATTTCTAGCAGTCTGTAAACCTTTCGAATACACTGGAGCTGCATTTAGCTCGATATATCACAAAGCCCAAGCGCAATCAGCAGGTTTTACTTGATGTATAGTTGTTTCTAATGTTATCGGTTGTGCTCACTTGGCACCGCCTGTTGAACTTAACGACTAACGCGATATTATACAAAGTAAGTACCAGTGGCGGACCGAGGCGGAGGGGGCGGGGAATTACTTATATGGGTTATAAAAGTGCGCAAGTGACTACGCCCCCTTTTTCCAGATTATAGGGATTGGGGACCCGCAAAAATTTTGAGAAGCACGCCAAAAATTTCTCGAGTGCATGGCTAACGCCACGCACCTTCACTAGAAAAACTTTTTTGCCCCCCCCCCGCCGACGGAAATCCTGGGAGCGCCACTGGTAAGTACTACTTGAAGACGAGCCAAAAACTGAAAGGATCTTCAGTGATGCAGGTTTGAGATCCATTCGGATGCTGCCTTAAAGCCCTTCGTCTTGCGAGCAAATTCTTGGTGGTCATCGAAATGTTTTCAAGTTCTTCTCAGAAGTCGTTGAAGCGCACTCTTTGCAAGCTCGCAATCCTTTTAGAAGCAGGTCGTATTCGTACACTGGGTCCTCCTGGATGAACTAGGCGCAACTTGACATGAGCTCCTTCAGACGTGAGCGTCATGAATACTTCGTTCCTTCTTATGGCAATTTGGCAAAACTTTTCTTCAAGCTGTTCTCCAAATCGTACTTTTGCTTGGAAGAGGCGGTGATCAAAACCACTGCGGATTATAAAACTATTTTGATATTGAACAGGCTCTACCTTCGTTTGATGATGATGTGGTCGATCTTCACGCCAGTCATTGCGGTGGGCGATCCCCATTTCTGTTAGCTATGGCCGAGCCAATACTGATTTGATTTGAGAGTCTGCAAATCAGCGCGGTGCCTGACGACTACGCAACTTCATGTTAGTATTGAGTTACAAATGACTCGCTTCAGAAGGCTACTTCCCAACGAAGGCGCAGGACCAAGCGGCGCAACGCTTTTATTTGCAGAGCGCATGAGGCGCAGGATTTACAATGAGGATACGTGCGCCTTCGCACAAACTAACTAATATTGTTTTCGCCATCATCCGACAGAAGCTTGTCTGATGCCGCCAGGAACCTTAATAAGTACCTTATTTTCAGGTGTATAAGCCGCAATCAAATATATAAAACTGAATGTCTGTTTGTCTGTATGTCTGTATGTCTGTGTGTGCGTATGTGCGCAATAGAAATTTTTATTTCTGAACCGATTTGGACCAATCTTGGTACACATATACTTTGGGGCGGAGAGCATGTAATAGGCTACTTTTCATTACCGATCGATATCGATTTTCGATTTTTATCGATGTTTTGCATAGTATGGCCTACGAGGCCGAGAGTTGGCACAGGGGGATAGGTGAGCATGCTGATTACTAACACAGCGGGAATAGAAAATTGGCAAGTAGAAGTGGGCACAGGGAAAGGTTGTACTGGGTGGGGGTGGGACCTTTATCAAAGTCTTTTGACAGGGCCGAGCGGAGCCGGGTAAGCCAGCTAGTTTACCTCTAAACACGATCAGAATCAGGCATGCCGCTGAACATGCGTTTCGCAAGGCAGTCAATTTCTTGCACTTTGCTCTCACTTAAGCGCTCCATGGTAACAGGCGGTTTTTTGGCGTGTTGGCCTTTAGAGCAAATTGGGTGCGGCTTATATACCTGATTAGGTAATTTTATGTGCTATTATAGTTAATTCAATGTTCGTTCTCCATGTAAAGGGTACCCATGATTATGAACTGCTACCTTTGCATGATGCTGGCGTATAATTAAGACTGTAGAATTAGTGTTCATATACGTCATGGTTAGTCTAAAGTTGCAGAGCTAAATATCTGACATGTACACACGTTAAGGTAGTTTACCTCTAACAGTTGTGTAACAAGGATGGGATCGAAAGTTGTAGTTGCTGTTGAATCCTTCTCGCCAAGTAATTGCTCCTGCATTTAATTAGGATTTGTCGCGTGAAGCACCACGTATTTGCTTTTGAATATCAGGTTAGCAAACAAGTAAAGCAACTCTTTGTATAGCTTTTTCTCCTTTTGATTGCGCTGTACTCAAGCATTGACATTATGTAGATTATGATGAGATGTGCAAACTATATCACCAGTTTGATTTTACCAACAAATAGAAAAAACACACTGTATGTATATGGAAACTCCAAAAACAGGTGATATTTGAGGTTTCACGCGTTAAAAGCAAAAAAGACAAATAATCTGGAACAAGTACAGCGACTTCTAGAATTTCTGAGAACGAAGCCTCCCCCAACTTTCCGAAGTTTTACGAAGTCCCCTTTGACCTACCTGCTTAGGAGAAAATGAAAACAAGAAAGATTCAATAGTCTGAAAGAAAAGACGTAAAATAAAAGAGTGAAAATCCAAATTGGAGCTGAATACTACGCATGCACAAGACTTTGGCATTAGAGCGCAATATTTATGATCGGGGAATCCGTTTCATGCTAAAGATCCGAAACTTATGTGAAGTGACGAAAATATAAGCTCCAGACGATCTTAGATCATCTGGTGGCCGTCTAGAGACGATCTAATTTTGGAAAACGTATTACTTCACGTAAGTTTTCAAATCCTTTTACATAATACTTTCGCATAATTTTCTATACATACAGTTCAATTTTGGTGTCATATGTTTCTCTGTGCGTTGTAAACATGCAATTTGTTTATTTAAGCCATGCTGTTAAATGGTTCCAGACGACGATCTGTGCCGGGCCCTGCGCAAAATTGTCGATGACGTTTCGCTCGAAAGTGTCTCAAGAAGCTAAAAAAAGATATAGAAGTTCGTAGCAAGTAGCTCCGACGTCCTCGACGAGTCAAACGAGTAGTTGTTACTGGAAAGTTGCGGACATCCGCAAATTATATGCAGGGATGTCAAAATTTGTCACCTTTGCATAGCGAAATTCTGTGCGCTAAAACGAATATCATAATCGTGCCAGTATAAACAGATGAAGAACTATTCGCATAATTATAAAAAGGCACTGTAGAATGAGTATAAGTTGTTGAATATAAGTGATCAGCATCCAATTACCTTCCTTCTCCTCCCCTCCCCCCCCCCCCCAGACCAATTTCAGCCAAATTTGTAAAAACGGTGATTTTTCAACTATAAAGTATCACCGCGTCATTCTGCTTCGCAGCGGCTACAATAAGAAGCGAGTACAATGGATTTGTAGTTTTTGCATGCTTTGAGCTGCATTTGTAGCTCATCTTATAGTCTGCATAATGCCAAAATTCAAGTGCGCCATGTACGTGAAGGTGAGAGGTATAGAAAAAGTTGCATATAGTAGGCGCCCTTTGTCTAGTTACCTCACCGTCGCGTGTGCAACTCGCGAACGTTTTCACAAAAGCTCATCACTTCAAAAATGCAAAAAGAAACGGTGAGGTGACTAGAGATGGCGCCTACTATACCTTACGTCCCAACCTGTATCTGCAAAATATCAAACTTACTCTGAATTCTTTCTCGATTTTTGTGACTTGCTTTTTCAAGAATTCATCAAACTCATCATCGCAGCTTCCTGAAATCCATACCTTGAAATCATCTTCTCAATTTACACCATTATAATGACCAAGTACATCAAACAGCCATATAAAAAGCAGAAAAGTTGCCTGCAACATTTAAGAGAAGTGAAGCAAGGTAGAAAGGCAAACCGCACTTTCATTTGCAAGAGTAGTTTATAAGAATCACCTAGAGAATTATCATGCATGTCAGTCCACTGATTGGTAGATAGGATAATATTCAATGTGTTTCCCTTCAAGTAGCATTATCTTAAAGTTTACAAAGAAAGCACTCTCAGTCATGGCCGTTTGGAGTGAGATGCATATCACTGAAGACACTAACGATTATTGATTTCAGCACCAGGTACAAGCGTGGGGTCAGGCGCGCCCAACTTGCGGGGTCGGGGACGAGTGCGGAAAGCGGGGGAAGCTGTGATCAACTACTCAGATAATTGCCGGGGGCAGGCGGACCGCAAACTCGCGCTTTTGTGCAGGCGGTCTGCAGGATTTTGAGATGTGGCCAAACGCTCAGATAATCGCCGGGGGCAGGCGGCCATGCGATTTATAGGCGGGCGGACACAGGAAAAATAGTTCGCTGATTTCCTGCGGTCCGCTTGCAGATATTTGGAAGAATTTTAGCGGAATTTTGGATGAACGCTCGAAGGACAAACGCGGTTTCCTTATAGATTGGCTGCGGCGCAGTGGCCGCGTTCTCGCGGAAAGTCCGCGAGAATATGCAAAATTTTTTGGGGGTCGCACGGTGCTTTATGGAGGATCGCGCAGCCCCCAGGTACTTTACGCTGAGATGAAGTACCTCAAACTTGAGTAATTAAACCATCGATGACGCCTCTGCTATGTAGAGTCTCTCCTTTGCTCGGCATACGCCCGAAACTGCCTATAAACCGTCCGAGCACCAGCTGAAAATTTAACTAGCGCTCGCTGAAAGAGATTATTTGACGAGCGCCTGCAGAAAATTCTGTGTTGCTGCCCGCTGGCAGAACATGCGACAGCAAAGGAAGTACCGCTCGCTGAAGGTGTGGCCACGCCCCAAAATTCTGCTGACCGCTTGCAGAAAAGCGCGAGTTTGCGGGCCGCTTGCCCCGGCGATTATCTGAGCGGGTGTATGTTGAAGGCGCGCGTTCCCTCAGCCCACCGCAACTAATTTATGCAAAAGCCGCAATCGTTCTCCGAGCATTCGTACGAATTTCGCAAAAATTCTTCCAGATATCTGCAAGTGGACCGCAGAAATCAGCGAACTATTTTTCCGGTGCCCGCTTGCCCATAAATCGCATGGCCGCCTGCTTCCGGCGCGCGCGACGCACCCTGCGGCGGCTTTTGCCTAAGCGAAGCTGGGAGGAAAGAGTTGCGGGGTGTGTGACGTGTTGAGACAAGTCAAGATCAGGGTAGCGCTGGGTACCGTCCGTGCGAAAAGACCGTCCTTTCAGCCATTAGCCAAATAGGGACAGTATATCGTAGATATGTGCTACATCTATAAGCTTGTCAGATAAGTTCCATATCCAGAGTTCTGAGTGAATTCGAAGTGTTCAAATTTTGTCGTTTGAGAAGGACTTCTGTAAATTCCTGAAAGATAAGAACAAGAACTCAGCTTCTAATAGTAATCAGAAGTATCTATGTTGTAAACGGTACTCAACAGTATTCAAACTACTGTTTTTCTCTCTGATATCCAAGCAAACGAAAGTTGCGACGTCGAACGCATCGTTCGCGTTGACTTCGTTGCAACTGTTGTTCGATTTGTGTATATCTCCCAAACAACTCTACAGAGTTATTCAAAGTAGAAGCTTAGGCCTTTGACTTGATAATTTTGGACTAAAAGAAAACCTCCTGTCAACGTCAACAAAAATTTTTGAAGCAGCGTGCTGCACCATGTGCAGCACCGGTCCGAAACGTGTTAACAAGGTTGGTCATTTAGAACCTACAGTATGTATGATCGTCTCCACGATTCGTGTAGAGGCGGTTGCGGACTTTCCCTGATTTTAAGGATGAACATGTTAGACCTCCACGTCATAGCATTGTTTTTGGTACTCTCTCGATATAAAAAACGTCACGCTTTGAGCTGGCAAAACTCCGCCTTTACACGAATCGTGGAGTCGATTATACATGTGAAGCATCGTGCATGTCAAAAAAACGGAGATTCTTTTTGAAATCAACAGGAAAATGTTTCTTCTAGCTTATTATTGGAAGACATCAAAGCGCAAAAAGATGAGACGGTGTATACTATCAATTAGAATTGCAAAGCTGATCAATTCGGTGTACAACGGCCTTCTCCCTAGTTACGAGAGCTATTTTCCGCGAGTGACAATGACACGATGACTCAAACGACGGAATTCTATTTATTTATTTTACATTACATAAGCGTAATGTTCCATCATAAAAAAGGTCATTACACATTTTGGAAAATAGGAAAGGACTCAAAAATGTTTGACAGATCAATGCATCTAACTTTACTCTCGTATCGCTAAATGTCTTCCACCTAATCGATTAAGTATTATCAGACACAGACGGAGCTTGTAGAGCAACAAGTAGGTATTGTCTTTCTTGGCAGTTATATATCACCAGTGGGCCACCTCTGCTTCGCAAAGGCTCGGACTGGCCCTACTTTCTGTATGCATTACTCACCCCGTCATAAAATGACATTGAAACTCACCGCGCTATGCAGGCTATCACGAATGATGTAAATAACTGTTCATTCCTAGAGCTTTTTCGTGTGAGATCGATATTTTCGCGTGGATGAAACTTTTCCTAGAAGAATGAATGCAAAGAATTATTAGGGTGATTCGTAAAAAAAACTGTAGATTTCTCAAAAAAGAAAAGCGGTTGAACTTCCCAATTTTGATAGATGTTAGAATAAATTATTCTCTTCTAGAAAATACCTATATAAGGTCATTTACATATGTAACAATTTTTATAGTGGGAAATGCAAAGTTAGTCACTTTGACAAATTATAAACTTTGGGCAGTATCTGCTCAGTGAAACATGTGAGACCACCCAAGGTACCACTGCTGGAGTGGGTGGCGGGACAGTCACTAAACCCACGGCGGTTGATGGCCTCAACCTTTAAAGTCAGGAGATATGGCCATTGGCAGCTTCGTGGACAAAGATACGCGTTATTCAATTCTTTGCAGGTGAACACATGTTTTCTAGGCACCATCTGATAGAGCTTTTTACGCTCTATCCATCCATATGCAGATTACCTCACATTTTATCTATCTTTGGAAAATACAGATTGAAACTTGATTTATTGGTTTTTTTGTTGCGCCAAAAAGTCGCGATTTCTCAGGTATTTCGCTTCTTTTATCCAGAGATAGAAAGAAATCCTGTATGTTTGATATACTGTTTCAAAGAGCATTAAGAGCTTTTTCGAATGGTGTGTCATTTGCTTTACGACTTCACGGTATAGCAGCGCAAGAATGAGCGATGTTCCAAAAACCCTGTCTGAGTTCTTCATGGCGCCACGCGTACGGTTATGAGAGAAAAGCGGTAACGCGTTGCCAGAATAATAGGCGAAGGTCGGTTAGGTAAGCGACGTTTAAGTTGCAGCCTGCTTGTTGTTGGTGAGAACGAAAAACCTTAAAATGTAATAAAAATCAAGCTGCCCCATTTTTTACCGATCACCCCAATAGTATTTGGACGTTTTATGGTTTGTTAGTCGCCATAAGGACACTGATCACCACTGGCTACATCTATGCAAAATTGGCAAATAGCACATTTGCGCAATTAATCCTTTTTGGCGCCATTTTCATAAAGTAATTAGCTCTAGTTCAATTTTCTGGGCTAAAGTCTGTGGTTTCCACATTAGCTTGTAAAACATACCCATGGATTCGCAAAAAGTGGTGGTACGGGCAACTTTTGCCTTCAGAAGCCAAAAGGATCCGCTTGACATGCAAGTTCCAAAGGATCGCTGAACGGATTCGCTTGTGCTTTTGCATATTACTTTCACGCTGCTGGCATGTGCCGTGCAAAATTTGGGCTCAAAAAATTGGCTGGAACCAGAGTCAAGCGTGTTGATGCGATCCTAGACCCTCTTCTACGACCCCCCCCCCCTAAAGGTACCTATCCGTACGACCTCCCTCCTCACCTACCCCCCCCCCCCCCACACTTACCCCTCCCACTTTCTTTTGCGATAACCTGCATAAATGAATGTCAATCTTAAAAGATGCCTGCCAATGGACCTCAATCAAAATTATTACACGGTGTCCCAAAAAAATGACACTGTTTGATCGTTAATAACTCCCTTGCTTTCAAGTCTTTCGCCGAGCTTTGAGTACCATTCTGTAGAGCGAGGATAAACTTAGATTTACAGTATCGAATCATCTAACGCTCCTCGTTACTGTAGAATTACGGTAGGAAATTCCAAAATGTGGAACCGTCATGAAATATGCCCTCTGACAAAAAATTTTTCAAAAAATCTGAAAAATCGTGTACTAGGATTTTCGCGCACGCTGATTTTACTACATAACTTTTTGCGAGTGTTTTCAGCTTTTTTGACGGTGTAATCACATTTTTCGCACATGTTGGGAAGTCAGTTTACACTTTACCTAGGATAACTTTGAAAAGAACTATCATAATGAAACTAAAATTTCATTCCGAAATCAGCGGCTTTCATTACCATAGTACAAGAGACTTTGGCTTGTTTGGCTCTGTTTCAAAGCAGAAAACCGGCTTTAGTGGCTTAAAATCCTTATCGAATTTCCTACCGTAATTCTACAGTAACGAGAGGAGTTAGATGATTCGCTCGATACTGTAACTAAGTTTATCCTCACTCTACAAAATGGTACCTGAAGCACGGCGAAAGACTTGAAAGCAAGGGAGTTATTAACGATCAAACAGTGTTAACATTTTTTTGGGACAGCCTGTATAACTACTTACAAATTGGGAAATAATGCAAGTAATGCTTCGCTATTCAAAAATCAACTCAAAAATAATTCTGCGTAGGTTGGGTAAGTAGTAAAATTCTACGAAGATCTGGCTATGTTTGTTGTGGTTGGGAAAATATGAATGGAAAGGACATTATCTGACAAAGCAGAATATCGATTTCGATCTGAATGATATTTAAGCTTTAAGATTTACAAATCATTGACGGTCATCGTTGGTAAAGAAATGGGATTTTGTCGAGTGTGTGAGACTTCAGTGGGGCTTCTAAAGCAGAATTTCTGAAACAAGGGGTACGCAACATCTCTGGCACGCATACACACCTTCAATAATGTTTGGGTTTCTGAAGGTTTTTTTTTTGAATTTTCAAGCATACTTCTGGCGAGCAAATTTGGTCCCCGTACGCGACAACATTTTTTGAAAGGAGAAAAAAATGATATGTTTGAAGCGCAAATTATGTTTTCGACTGAAAGACTTACTTCCTTTTCACAGATTTTCGGGCGAAAAAACTGTTTTAGCGCCACGCAGAAGGATGTAAAAATGTGAATGAGCACGGTATTTTGAAAATTCGTAACTAAAGGCAAGGAAAGACTTAGAGGCTGCATTGAACAGACTTTGTAGTATGGTGCCCATATTATCCACGAAAAAAGTTTCAGCCATTGAGAAGCAGTAAGCTCGGAAAAATCTAGATGCAACTCTCGCAAATTTAGATGCGATCCTAAAAGCAAAAAGTGGGATTTTTGAGCTTGAAATATTGTATCTCACCGGAGAAGTTGTGAAACAGCCTCAAATTCTTGTGATAAAAAGTAGAGAGATGTCTTCGTATTACGGCAAGTTTGCAGTTAACAAGCTTCGATAGCTACGGAGAAATTCAGATGAGGCGCAGATACGACCCCCTTTTCTCATTTTTTGCTACCATACATAAAATCATAAGAAAATCCACAGTTGACAAAGTAATACCAAATTTTGCACTGATATAGCAGAGCATCTCCAAACTACACATGACTCATATGGGCCCGTGAAAAACATTACAAAAGGTTTAGACATTCATGATGGTCACAGCTGGTAAAGATATTCGGTTTTGTCGAGTGTGTGAGGCTTCAGGAAGCAAGATTTCCAGGGCAATCGGTACATTTAGCATTTTAGTGTTTGGAGTTCTTGTAAATCTTTTTTTTTTTGAGATTTCCTACAGATTTTTTATCTTTTTTATCCTGATTTCCACTTTTTTATATATTTATTGTAAAGAACATAACTAACTATCTGCTTTTTGATTTCCTTTCATGCTTAGGGTATTTTAGCCTAACTACCTCCTCTTACGACCCCTCCCCCCCACCTTAGGTACCCTCCTTACGACCCTCCGTTGCGATGTCGCATCACAAGCTTGACCCTGGCTGGAACTCGCTCTACGAATTTCGTAACGGACAGACAGACACACAGACATAAAGACGTAAACATCCTTAACCCGTTATTATAAATCATGATTCCTGAAAGATCCGTTACGTATTATCAAAGGCTTTGATTACATGCATATCATAGACGTGTACACAATCGAGTAGATTTATTGGTATAGTGCTTTTACGGCGCCAAGGAAAAATACGATCAAAGCGTGTGAACAAATAGCTGGCTGGCGATGCTGGCGATTCGCTGAGACAATGTGCCGGACTTACAGGCGTAGCTTTTTCTACACGCGCATATATGTCGCATTTCCTCGGCACGCAAGGGCACCAAATTTACCTACCGACCAGCTTGCGCCCGTTACACATTCTGCATCTCTTTGGCGCGTGCTATCTGATCACCATCTAAACACAACTAGGTCACAAAGTTCCGCCTTCTAGCCGCCAAGCCATTTGAATCAAAGGGTATTTGAAATCATAGCTCAACGTAGTGGGATAATAGATTTTCGTAAATGGTAGCCTTTGAGCAGTTTATGATGCAGCTGCCAAGAGTCACTCGCCATCCATCCACTTGTGCTATATGCTTACACGCGCTAATGTCTCCTTCATTTCCCTCAATTTTAGCAGGCGAAATTTGGATCAATATTCAAGACCAACCGAAGCCCACAAAAGCGTGACTAGGAGCAGATTACGGTCAATGACCTCCAAAGAGTTTCAGTGTAGTCAATAAGCACTGGATTTTCAGTAAATGCTAGAAGACAAAATCCATTTATGTTTGAAAGGAAGAGAACTCCATTATGGACTACTTTGCAACATTTTTGATTTTTCTTACTTGCCAAGCCTTCGTAGAATTCTATCGATGAGGATCAAAGCATGTTATCGTTAAATGATGTGTTTGAACAAGCCTCGTATTTTCTAGTCCATTTTCGAGGCTTTTCTGCTTTGTTCCAGCCATAAACGAATATAGCCGTGACCAAAGTATCTTTAATCACGATATGCTTTTTTCCGTCTTTGTTACATTTACATAATACGACATCTTATGAATGAAGCTAAATGTCTGTATGTAAATCTTTATGTCTGTATGTATGTGCGGATCCGAAAATTCCATCTCAAGTATTGCGTTATACGGTAGTACTTCTAGATCCTTCTGTTCTGCTGTTTGGATCTTCAAAAAATTGGAGAAGTTCTTTTGCGTGTCTCGCAACTTCACTAAAAGTTGTGAGACATGCAAAAGCTTTCGCAAGTTAAAGCTTGATTGTTATTGAATGAAACTTGTGAGGATAGATCACCTTCTCGGAGTTTTCGGCACTCTTATGCACTTTATTGAAATAGATGATTATTACAGACCTTGAGAACATGACCAATGGAATTCTTAATTGAGTATAATGTAGCCAAAGGGTTTATTCTGCATTAGACCCTTTGAAAAATCTATATATAAAGAATGTTGCGCCTCTTCAAGCAAGGTGAAAATTCGGGAAATTGCGCGACTCCCGCAGCGAACGCTCCTGCATACCTAGCACCTTTAGACTACTGGTTCACTGGTTCACTAGTTTTGGGACGGAAATGTTTAACACTCAAGGATAGGACAAAATTTTAAGTCATTTACCCAAGTCTTCCACTAATCTATGGTCAATGAGTTTTGGTGACCGAGATTAAACCGATAAAACTTTTAGGACAACTGATAATTGTGTCATACGCAAACCATCTAGATAAAATACTTCAAAAGGTAACTCTCCTGGGTCTCTTACGTCCTCTAGTGGGTTTCTGAAGCACCAGCTTCAACAGTTCACAGTTCGCGAATAACGCACAATCACGTGGAATTACGGTATAAGCTTGAGCACCTTTCCGTTATCGTAAATGAGCTCTCAAAGAATGTGCTGTGCTGCGTAATTGTTCACATGATTTGTTTATAGTATATGAGGTTCACTCGAGTTTTAGTTGCAATATTACCTAATTTATCAATGTGTTACTGATTGTGAGATATTAACAGAAAATTGTTGAGTTTTTCGTGCCAACTGGTCAAAGTTGAATTGCATTATTTGGCATCTTTTAAAAAAAAAATTCGCTTGCTATAGTTGCGACTAAAAAACATGAAGTGAATTGAACATATTTGGTAACACCATAGTCTGAGGAAAAGTCCTTTTTATTCCATATGTAACCAGTTAATTAGAGTAAATGTACTAGCACTATGGAACAAGGATTTCATTAGCATTTTCAAGCTAGCCATTCGTGCCACCAGTTGTTTCCGATTTTGTTTCCGAATTCTTGTTCTTCCACTAAAAATTCAAATCAGTGTTTATTCGACTAAATTGCTTTTCACCATTCAAATATGTTGCTACGCTCTTTTTCAGAAAGTGCCGCAACTTAAAGACAGCGTCCTGGCAAGAATTTGTTTTCCAGTTTTTTAAGTATTCGGAGCCTTCTTGTCATGAGGAACTCTGCGCTTTTAAGCGTCTGAAAATAACAAAAATGACCTCTTCTAAGTCCGCATTCAGCGAAAATGAGCCGGAAGTTTCCCGCACCCTGCCCCTCTCATTCCGTGCCCCGCCCACTTACACGCATTTTCCAATGGATGCGGACCCGGAAATCTTCGGAAAAAAACTTATTTCTGCCATTTTTGTGCGCTGAAAACTCCAGATATAGATTCCTCATGGCGAGAAGGCTCCGAAAATGTAAAAAACAGAAGAACGAAATTTTGCTGGGCACTGCTTTCAAGTCCAATGCAGCTGCCTTCTCAAGCTTGGCGCAGTGTTCGTGAACATTTCTTTTAAGCTAAGCAATTCTCCACACTGAGCAGCGATAGAAGCTTGAAGGCAGTGACTTGGCAGAGTTTCGTTTTGCATTCACCTTTTCGGAGTCTTCTCTCCATGTAGAACCCATATCTGAGCTTTTCAGCGCATGAAAATGGCGAAAATGAGCTTTTTCCAAAGCTCTCCAGGTTCGCATCCAGTGGAGAATACGTGTAAGTGGGCGACGCCCGGAACGAGGGAGGCGGAGCGCGAAATTCCGGCGTATTTTCACCGGATGCAAACCTGGAAAGCTTCAAAGAGCTCATTCACGCCATTTTCATGCGCTGAAAAGCTCAGATATGGGTTTCCCACGGCGAGAATGCCGGATAGGTTGAAAAACTGGAAGGCGAAATCTGCCAGGACGAGTTACTTGAAGCGCTTCGCAAACTCGCGCTAAGCACGCCACGCGGGACTTGACGAACAATGAAGCAATCCAACAAGCTCAATTAGCAAATTCATCCTGCTTGATGATTCATGTATCACAACAAAATCACAAAAACGTTCTTGACGGGCTCTCTCTCCATCAGATGCATAGCTCGAACTCCGATTTCCAAGAAATGTACGCTTAAGTAAATGAGTAAGCGGGTTCAACACCTCTTTCAAAATTGCGAGATTTGTGAAGATTTCCTACAATCATGCTTCGAGATGAGCTTTACTTGATACTTCCCTTTCACTTCAAACTCTATGTATAAGAAACTATCTAACAATAAGTAACTCTACTTGCGCAATTTCGAGCCTTTTTGGAATAGCTGTAAAGCGGTTTTCTTAATTCCTTTATGCAAGCCTTCCTTATTATGTGCTTCAATAACGATATATTACTTTTATTCGTAGTATGTCACACCTCAAACGATTTCGGTCGCCGCGCGATTTTATATTGCAACGATTGTTCAGTATTTTGTTTAAACATGATTGGCATTATCGTCCCTTCCACTACTGCTGCCATAGCTCTGCGTCTCTAGCCTGCAGCAGGTTCCACGCGGACATGTGAGAGAGCGCAGCTCCACACATTACATGCATACAGATTTGTACCAGCTACCAGCGCAGGGTGGAGCTTATCGACGACATATAATCCTCTACCCCTATGTTGGCGCTGATGCCATTACCCAAAATGGCTTGCCATGTTAGCCATAAGTGGCGCAAGTCAGAGACGCAGAGCAAGGTTAGCAGCAATTGTGGAAGCAATACACGTACACTTGCGAAGACTGTGCATTTATCAGTGGCTCGGCAAAATCGAACATCTCGAAATTTTTATACGAAAGGTTGCTTGCACCCCAAACATGAGAACGAAGCGGGTCCGACCGCACAGCATGCTGCCCCTGCCTAAAAAATTGCCCCTAAACCCGTGCGTGCAACCCATTCTTACACGCACTCGGACGAGCTTGAGATACTCATCACACCGTCAGAGGATGTATGCCGCAATGTTATAAACATGAAGGTCCCACAACGACTCTGCGTCTCTAATCATGGATGTGGGATGTGCTCCACTCGTCTAAATTCAAAATAATGGGCCTTAGGTACTGCTGGTTTTTGCCATTTTTGCACTCTAAAAAGTGGATATTCGGAATCAGCGCGTCGAATTACCCCAAGTAAGCGAAAAAACCAAAGGTCGAGGATTTGTCGAGCCACTGCCTTTAGGCACTTGTATTGACATGTGCTGGATTACCAAACATCTGGCAAGTGGTGGATGGCGTGGCGGCCGCGATTTAGTGGGACCTCTCATATGAAGGAAGCTTAATGCAGTGTTACCAGACAAAGTCTTTAAAGTGCGGCCAGCGTCAAAAAGTAGTTTGGTATCAAATAGGAAACATTTTCCACCCGCTAAGCAGTGGCCTCCGAGGACGTTTGGGGAAGGAGTGGCGTTGATTACACACTCCGAAATATTTTTGGGATGCTTCCGTTTTCCGCGGGCCCATAACCCCGAAACTTTCGAAAAAGAGAGCGGGCGGCAGCCATGCGCTCCCCTAACCTTTTCTGCTCTTCTACATCTGCTTGGATGAGTTTACAGGTTTCGCGCGCCGCTTCTTGAACCTGCAAGGCATATCTGTTGTTTGCACGTTGCACCGCAAATTAGCGTGAATGCAAAAATGAATGCTAAACAATGAACGCTCGTCCGCGCTTATCAAAATAGAATTTCTAAAACGGGGATTTTCAGGCTTTTCGTGCGATTTAGGAATTAGAATTGGAATTGAGTGCCTTTGAAAAAATACAACGAGATGGGATTCGGAGAGGAGACTTAGCATGCACGCTACCGGTTGTAGATCCAAATCTGATAACCACATTTGTTTGATGATTTCGAATTCATGGGAACAAGCCTTTAAAGAAGCACACTAACCCGAAAAAGGCTGCACGAATAATGGTGGAGCGCAATATCAATATGGAATGTAAGAGAAACCATAGTCTTCCTACCCCTTCATTCACTGTTACTTGTGTTTTTCTCATTCGATAGAAAATGCTACTTGAAGCTTCATAGCTTCTGTATGGTCTCTGAACCTACTTTGTCATTCGTCATGCAATAAATATTGGTCTTGTCGTAACAGACAATTCTTACCACTATGTTTTACTGATAAGTACCTCCGCCTCGTGTTCTTCATTTGATATTCGCCAACTTTTTATCAAAAATGAACTTTGATAGTTGCTGAGAAATCTATTTGCTTTAGAAGTCTTAGAGAGTGTACATCTAGCAAAAGTTGTGACGGGGTTTTTGGGATTGCAAACCTTCCTTTGCAGTCTTAGTTTACCTTCATAAAGGTTATGGAACTGTATTTAGTCAAGCTTATTTGTGCCTAAAAGTGAAGTTACATAATGACTATGCAAAAATTGCAAGCGATCAATCTTCAGACGGCAAAATCTGTACATTTTACGCAAAAAATCCTGCATTGAACGACAGGAAATATGCAACTTCCAAAGGAAAATTAGAAAAGAAGACAGAATTCAAAGAGAATGATTCCCTTCTTCGTTCCTTTTTTTTATCCTTGCATCTGTCCCTATACGGGGTCTGCCGCTCTTGTCAGTCTCTTCCATTCTTCTCTATCTACGACTCGACTATCAACTAATTCAAGTTCTCTGAGGTCTGCTTTGACTCAGTCCATCCATCTTAGCTTTGGTCTTCCTCGTGGTCTTTTCCGGGAACATCCACTGACATTGCTAGTCTTGTAATGTGTTCTTCTTCTCGTCTTCTCACGTGCCCATACCATCGAAGCCGCCGATCTTGCGTCTTCTTGGCTATCGGGGCAACTTTCATCGTGGTTCGTATACTATCATTCGTGACGTGGTCGAGCATAGTCACACCCATCGTCCATCGTAGCATACGTGTTTCCATCACACCAAGCTTCCTCTCGTCATTACGTGTGCTTGGCCAACACTCGCTTCCATACAACGCGGTTGGACGGATTACTGTGCGATACATTTGTGATTTCAGTTTCAGTGGCATCCGTTTGTCACACAGAATTCCTGTTAAGCTTCTCCATTTCAACCAAGCTGCGCTTATTCGGCCGTTTATCTCGTCGTGAAGCGAGCCATCTGCTGTGGTGCGACTTCCCAAGTACTTGAACGACGTGGTCTTCTTGATTGCTGTGTCTGCGATCTGGATCGTTCCTGGCATGTGACGTCCCAGTTCCATGTATTCTGTCTTCGCGGTACTGATCTTCAAACCATGCAGCTCGAGTTGCGTTTTCCACATCTGCACATCATTCTCCAATTCTCTCCTGCTTCTCGCCATCAGGATCACATCATCTGCTTACATGACGGACCATGGGAGTGGACGTATGAAGTCTCTTATTATCGTGTCCACGACTGTGATGAAGAGGAGTGGCGACACTACGGAACCTTGATGCACGCCGCCGTTTATCTGGAAGTCGTCTGAGCGTCCCGCTGCAGTTCGTACGTGGCTGGTGCCTCCTTTGTATATCATTCTGATCCAGCGGACGTATTCTTCTGGTACATCGTGCTTCCGTAGTGCCCACCATATTATGCGATGTGGTACTCTATCAACGCCTTCTCCAGATCGAGGAATGCCGCATGAAGCTTACACTGCTTTTCTAAGCTTCTTTCCATCATTATTCTGATGGTGTGGATGGCATCGGTTGTACTGCATCCCTTTACGAAGCCGCATTGGTGAGGGGCCAGTTGTACGATACTTCGAAGCCGCGTCTCCAGTATTCTTTCGAAGATCTTCAATGTGTGACACATGAGTCGAATTGGCCTGTACGTGGAGCAGTGGCTATGTCGCCCTTGTTCTTCCATATTGGTATCGTCGTGCTTCTGTACCACCTCGTCTGGCATCTTTCCGAATTCTATTATCTCATTCAGAAGTCGTGTAAGCCACGAGACTCCACCTTGTCCACACTTCTTCCAGAAGTCGCTGGGGATGTCGTCTGGACCTGCCGCCTTGCCGTTCTTCATCTTCGTTATTGCCGTGCGGACTTCTGCTTCTGTGATAGCTGGTACTGGTCCATTCACAGGACAGGGTTACGGTGGACGCGTATTCTGGGTTAGCGGACGCCAACTCTGCGAAGTGCGCTCTCCATCTTTCGTTTATCTCCTGTGGCTTCCTCAGCATTCTTTCGTGTGCATCCTTGATGTTGTGGAAGTGTTCGATGTCTTTCGTAGCGTTGGCTCTTCTTCTGGCAATCCGATAGACTTCTCGTTCGCCTTCGCGAGCGTGCAGCTTCCTGTATAGTACAGCTACATATGCCTCTTTCGCTTCTCTGACACTTTTCTTGGCTTCTCGTTTCGCTTCTATGTATCTGCGGTGAGTGTCTTCTGAACTCGTCTTCTGCCATGTTCTGTATGCCGCCTTCTTGTTCTTCACCACGATTTGCACTTCTTCGTTCCACCACCATGTTTCTTTCTCGAGCTTCCGTCTCCCGGGCTTCGTGCGGCCTAGTAGGTCTCCGGCTATCTGATGGATGTTGTTCTTCAGAAGCATCCAGGAGAGATTTGGATCACTTTGCATTATTGGCAGGGCGGATTCCATTGACGTTCTGGTGTGAGAGTTATCTTTGAGCTTCCACCACTTGATGCGTACTTCTTGTTCGGTCATCGCCCTTCTTCTCCTGTCGACTGGGATATTGAGATCCAGTATCAGTGGCCGATGTTGTGGCACGCATTCTTCACCTGGGATAAATTTGCTATCCTTCACATACTTGAGCTCGTTGTGTCGTACACTCCAGAAGTCTATCTGCGACTTGTGGTCTCCATTGGCGTACGTGATGAGGTGGTTGGTCTTCTTGATGAAGTACGTATTTGCCAAGGCTAGATCGTGGGCTGTAGCGACCAGAATACGTTCTCCTCCGTCAATACGTGTTCCGTAATCGTGGTTTCCATGGCACTTCTGTAGACACTTCGTTGCTCTCCGACATGTCCATTGAAATCGGCACCGATCAGTAACATTTCTTCTGGTATCGAACTGACATACTCATCAAGCTGCTGCCAGAATTCTTCCTTCTCCGCTTCTTCACATCCCGCTTGCGGTGCATAGGCCGTCACTACTCGAAGTATTTTCTTCCCAGTGTCCAATCTTATAGTCATGAGACGATCATTCATTCGATCTACACTGGTAATCTTATCTCTTAACGCCTCAGAGACGACTATGCCGACACCATTTCTTTTGTTGGTGGTTCCTTTGTACAGAAGCTTGTAGCCATCACCGATGTCACGCGCCCTTTCACCTTTCCATTTGGTCTCCTGAATACAAGCAACGTCTACTTTACGTCTTCTGAGAAGAACGGCAAGCTCGCGATGTCGTGAGGGAACCGACGTTGATGGTAGCTAGACGTAATGCCGAGAACTTGGAAATCGTCCTGTGGTGAACTAGCTTCTTTGGCCGTCCCCGTTCACCTTGCTGAGACGGTAACCCTCGCCTACTGTCCGCATCCGTCGGGCTCGAATGCGCGTCGCCTCCGGGGAACGCCCTAGCTTTTATACGAGAATCCTGTTGAGACATAAAAGAGCATCTGATGCGACGTGGTGTCTTCTTCAACCGGCTTGTCGCTTGCTTCCTAGGGATGAGCAGCCCGACGATGGGATCGTGGGCAGAGCTTTTTGCCGCGGGACCGAACCTTGACCTTCCTCGCCGCAGTCAAGGGCACTAACCTCTCGGCCAGCTCTGCCCTTTTCGTTCCTTTTTTGGAACTGGTATTTTCCACGAGCATAACAGTCACAAGGCTGAGATTTTATGGTTAGAGGCAGTGTCCGGGCAAAACTCGATTTCTAGGAAATTCACCTACCGGGGATTATCCGCAACGTTGAATCCGATAATCCACATTAGAAGGCGCGAAAACGGCGAGAACATGCGTTTTCCAAAGCCTTATAATTCGACGGTCTCCGTCAAGGCTGAGACGCTGAATCTTTGCGGGACCTTACGATTCTGACTCTGCCGCATATATACCAGGAATTCGGACAGGTCGGAGGATCCGCCTAAGGAGTAAGTTTCCCACTTTCCAGTCGTTTTTCTTGCTTTAGATCGAGCGTTATGACGTCGCACTTACGCGATGTTGTCTAAGGGGCGGGGCACTCTCGCATGGCACTGAAATCCCAAAACCCCCACCTTGCACGGACACTGCCTTTAAATTTATGAAGATATGAGTACATAGCTGCTTTTACGGGAGGAACCTAAGACTGCTAGGGACGGAAAAAACATAGCGAGTGTGTGTAAAGAAGAGTGGATGTATTTGCTTAAAGGCAGCGTCCATGCAGATCTGGACCTATGGGGCTTTTACGTGGAAAGTACTTTTGGGGCCCTAACTAAGGCACTGCTCAAGCGGCAGCTCAGGTAGTGCTCTAATGGCTGAGATATTCCCCTCGAAACTGGCCCCCGCGAACGTATTTGAATGGATTCATGGCAGTTTCGCGCCAGGATCCACGCTTTGCGCCATGAATCCATGCGAAACACGGTCGCGGGGTCCAGTTTCGAGGGGAACATCTCAGCCATTACAGCACTACCCGAGTTGCCGCTTGGGCAGTGCCTTAGTTAGGGCCCCAAATATACTTTCCACGTAAAGGCCCCATAGGTCCAGATCTGCCTGCGCTGCCTTTAAGCAGGGACGAGTAGAAGATTTTAGATTTAGGAGCGAATCGCGATTTTTGGCGTCACGGATTTTGGCTTCAAACTTTGCGTGAATCAGGTAGTATACTAATGTTCAATAACTTGTAGAGCTTGCTTCACATCGAATGGTTCTTTTTTACTATTATTTCATTCAAGAAACCTTGACGACTTGGATAACTGAGTTTAATCTTCATCTGCTTGTTGGAATTCACCCACTTACGATGAATTGCGGACGTTTAACAATAAGGTCGAAAAGATTACCCTACTTCAATGATAATTTGCACTATATCGCAAATTAAGCCTTTGGATTGCTGAGCACTATTTACTTGGCGTTCATCCGCGGTACACCAGCTCCACAATTCGGCGACACTATCATTGAGAAAAGGTATCCGAAAACTGGGTGGCGGTGACGTTGAAAACCGTAGCGTTCAATAGATAAAATTTGCTTTTTGAAATGATAAGATACCGCACTGTGAATGATACTTAGCAAAACCACACCTGGTCATACACTATCTTCCTCAAAAGGCCGTGGAATTCGCTGTCTTGATTCTCATTCTTGCTTTTTTCCTTTTCCTGCTTCTCAAATGCCTGATTATAGAACAATCAAGTATACTGCGCTATCAGAATGCCAACACGTAAGCACTGTCTATTACGAAAATCAAGGCAAAACGCAAAATTGGTTTTAAAAACATACAACTTGGTATCTACAAGGTTGATCTCAAATATAAAGCGTTCGATCTTTATTTTGCTTTTTTGTCATTATTTTTTATGATAACTTTTCAAAAAAATCTCACTTTTGCAAAGTCGCAAAATACACAAACGCTCCAAACATTAGCATATTTCCGAGTTAGATTCTTTCAAAAATTGTTATGATTATTATACACTAGTTCTACAAAGCAACTGAGCCTTTACGGTTTCGAAATATCAAATTTGCATTTTACGGGTACAACCTGGAGCGGCTTAAATCAAGAATTATGGTGAATTTGTCGCCAAAAACACTACGAATTGGGGAAAACGTTTCTCAGAAAGGAAAGAAGCTGCATCCAACGTCACTTTGTTATTTGCCTTTCGTTGCTCCATGAGTTCTAGTACGACCAAAACTGGAACTCGATAGCATCAGAATATAGTTTCAAAAATTTTGGAAGGTTAGCTAGTGTCATAAAGTTGCTTCATTGCACTTCGTTTATGCTATCCGATTCAAGAAGAATTTGAAAAATCGATAAAGTGGGACAAGTTAAAAAGCATGGGTTCGAAATTTCGGCTAATATTTCAGTGACCACATGAGTATAACTACAAGAAAATGACTGCTAGGAAGAGGAAGAAAGGTGCGTCGGGAAGTGTTTGAATCGTTTGTCTATCTTTTTCCACGCGTTTTAATAGGTGGGAAAAAACTTTCGGCGACCTGATAGATTGAAAAGACGCTAAGAAAGCGCTTGTTTAGTGCTAGGATGAGTCAAAAGTATTGGGAACTTTTCATGGGAGATGTTTTTCGCCTGAGATTTCATATATCGCTATTTGGAAATGTACCTTGCTTAGAGATAGGTGGAGTCCTCATTACTCTATGTAATACTGAACTAATTAGCGACTCTAGAATGAACGCCGGAAAAGTTGCGATTAGAGCGACTTTACGTCATTACTGGAAACGAAGTAACGCGAAGAAAGCGGCCGAAAAAATATGTGAAGTTGAGGGTCCTGACTCGCTGTTCAGTCACAGGCTTATAGATGGTACTCGAAGTTTGATCCGGATGACACGAGCCTTGAAGACGATGCACATGCAGCGCAAATTCACCTATACCTACATCTCACACTTCACAGAAATATGGATAGGTAACAAAAGATTTTTTTCTGGAACATTGCCTTTAACAAGTCGTAACTCTCTTCACAGTTCCTTACCAAAAATAATAAGTAACTTATCTGTACCCGGAAGCCAGTAGTACAAATGATGAAAATGAAAAATTGATGGAAAAGACCTGGACAATAATTTGGAAGAAAAAGAATTCAAATCGAGAATTCTCAACCTTTTTCATTTTCTCAGTAGCTTTAGTCCAGAATTAAAGTTCTGACTTTCTGTGCACTAAATGGCTGGAAGTTTTTGCAAAAACTGTCTACCGGATGCCTTGCCCTTATGCTTACAGGAATGAGCAAAGCTTTGGCGATTACCTTTTTCAAAAGAAATTTTTTGGTCATAGAATGACTGCAACGGCTACACATGTTGAGGAGACGGCATCTCCATATATCTTTCATTGTCTGACTAGGAGACGTGAACACACTTTGCGTACATTTTATTAGCAAGTTCATGAAGGAGTTTTAACGCGTTTTGGTTAATCTACTATTGAAATTCGTGGAAGGACATGTTTGATCACGTTAAATCACGCTAGCTTGAACACTTATTTCACAGATTCCTCTTAATGATTAACCAAAACGCGTTAGAACTCATTCATGAACATGTTGGTCAGACGTACGCAAAGTGTACTCGCGTCTCTTAGTCAGAGGATGCATGATAAGTAAATCGTTAAGATTTGTTAAGCGTGTGTAATACAGGGTTCTTTTACATAAACTAACTAGATTTAAAAAGTGCGCTTGAATTCTGGTCAAAAAAGTGTAACTTAGACGATTGTTGCAGCGGCCCGGTCGCCCAACTAGGCTTCAATGTTGAGCCGCGACACCAATATCTCAGCCTTACATGCATCAGGCCCAGCGGCGGGCCACAGGTGTGAGCTGGCGACCCGCGCACATAGTTGATGCCATGCTGACGGTGGCCCGCACGCCTATATAGGCTCATAATTTCACCGGCGGCCCGCGCACCCATACACATGCATGCTGAAATTAACAGCGACCCGCTCATCCATATAAATCAATGCACATTATGAGCACAAGGGTAACTGGCGTGAGATACGACGCAGTGAAAGGGGTGCCATCGGAGCTTGCTGGAGGTGTAGCACTTGCATTTGGGCTGACAAAAGGTTTGTCTATGAGTTGACCCTCTATGGGATCTTGAATAATCTCGTGTAGTTCGATCAGTAGTGCGATTGCAGGAACGAGTTCAACTATTTTTGATTTCACATGGGTTGTATCCACATTTGAGGTGACACGCGCATGTAAGTGCAGCCGAGCAGAAGCCCCAGGGTGGCCCTGGTATATTAGCGCGGGCCAAGAAAGCAAAGGAGACACTGAAATACAGGCTGGCCCGCTCGTCCGGGTGACAGGGTCGCTGTACATACTGAAACCGTCGCTGGCCCGCGCTAGCATGGCAGGACAAGGCCCGGAACGGGTTTTCGCCCAGCCTGCCATGAGCGCGCGGGTGGCCGCAAAAAATGTCTAGGAAGATTCTAATTTTGGATGCCTTTATTTGAAGCTCTGTTACTATGTAATGGATGAGGTTGGAAGCCCGCTTCAACCATCATCGCATAGAGAAAGAAAAGTAACTCAACAGTATGCTACATCGGTTTCGAATGAAGAATTTTGACAGAAAAAAGTTGTTTGAAAAAAGGCCTTTGAAAACGGTCGTTATTTTTGCATTAACCCAATACTGGCAGACAGCGGGAGCAGCCAGAGCGCGAAGAGAACGCTTTCGGGTGTTTAAATGACCCGTTGAAGAGAGACGGGCTTCCGGCTCTTTTAAGATAATGAAAGCTAGAGAAACCTGCTGAGAAGGTTGAAAACCAAATGTTGCTGTGTAGCTGAATCTTGTCAACCACGATTTCTTATGACCCCCCCCCCCCCTTTCGACGACTTAAAGGCAGCGGCTCGGCAGAATGACAAACTCGGGATATTCATCGTTCTCGGTTCCCCTGGACGAGCTAAGTCCAAGACCATGCTTTGCAGCTTCAAAAGATATCAGTAACCCGTTTTTTCAAACGTGAAAAGTGCTATTTGGGCGGACCGGTTTGCCTGCTCTCTAGAGCGTTATTGGCTCGTGGGTAAGGTAGGTACGGTGTCTCCACTCACGAGGCAATTATGCTCTAGAGAGCAGGCAAACCGGTCCGCCCAAATAGCACTTTTCACGTCTGAAAAAACGGGTTACTCATATCTTTTGAAGCTGCAAAGCACGGTCTTGGACTTAGCTCGTCCACGAAAACAGAGAACGATGAATATCCCAACTTTGTCATTCTGCCTAGCCGCTGCCTTTGATGTCCTCTACCCTACTTTTGCCACTAGGATAAAATATGTACTGTTGTACTCAAATTGTTCTCCATCGATCAGGCTCAACCGGACCATACTATTAGATCAACCTGTTGTTTATATCTGTTAAAGTATTTGTTACTTTGAAGGCAGCGGCTCGGCAGATTTTCAACTTCGGTTTTGGCAGATTTGGGGTATTTCCGGCTCCCTAAATCACGATATGAACTCCCCTTGGCGCGAAGATGGAGAAAACCCGGTCTTTTGAACCCCCCCCCTTGAGACGGGCGCGGACGAGTGAGTCGTTTTTCTCTGCCGTCAGAGACGCAGAGTAAGGAGGTAGAGAGCAGGGCGCACGCGTTGGTTTGAAGCGTTCCCGGAAACGAAGTCCCCCATGACTTCGCGCAAATTTACAAAGTCCCTCTTGACGTAAAAATCAGTAGGGAAACCCTTAATTAGTCAAAATAACATTAAAAAAGGCGAAAAAAGCGCATTTTGAGGTAACTAATACAACAAAAAAGCAAAAAGAAAACATTTCGAGTTGATTAAAAGCTCTGTCATTGGGAGTGTACCATTTTAGCGCTCACAATGTCGAGAACCTCCTAGGCCAACCAAATCTGTGGCCTCAACAATCTGGCAGTGCGTTTTTCGCCACATAGTTCAAAGGACACCGCGTGTGATTGGAGCGCAATATCTATCAAGACGTATAGATTTGCACTACTTTTGGCTCAAAAGAAGAGGAGAGGCAATAGTTTGATTCGCTCTCTTCACTATATAATAGATTTTTGAGCGTTTTAATCGTCTAAATCAAAAAGGTCCAAAACTTATGTGAACTCTCCGAAATTTATGCTCCGAACCAACCCAGTTGGTTCGGTGGTTGGTCTAGAAACCAACAAATCCGGAACGGGTATTCAGACACATAAGTTTTGGGAATTTTTTTACATAACATAGTTTGGAGTAATATTGTATACTCATAGCCCAAATTCGGAGCCATGTGATTGTTTGTGCGCTGTAAACAAGCCATTTGTTTGTTTGAGTCTTGCATTTGAAATTCGCGCGCTTGCGAAAGAACACGTTCAACTCGTGAAACCTGACATGTTCGTCGTGTTTTTTGGCGCTTCCTCCAGGACCTCATAAAAACGATGTCCCCGTTGCTTCTAATCCAAAAACGAAGTCCAGTTTAACCCCAAACCATCGGTGCCGGGCCCTGGTAGAGAGACTAGAACAATTCTGCCCTACAAAGCTACGAGTGACGGCGCGTTTTCCAGCGGAGAACATACAGGGCTTTACAACCTGAGTGTCACAGCCGCCCCGCTCGGCCGCCACGCTTAGGTCCGCGCAGCGTTCGTGGCGCTGGCTGCGCATCGACTGAAGCTTGGCAAAAGCCCGGGCGATACGCCGCAAACGCCGCGCGCGGCCTGAGCGAGGCGGCCGCGTTGGAGGAGCCGCGCAAGCGGAAGCTGTGACTCTTATGTTGAAAAGCCCTGTATAGTCGGTTTCATCCCGGATTAGGCGAAACATTCTGCATGGAGCAACGCGTGCGCATCGCTGGAGGCTTCGCGAGCGCATAGCGCTGGCACTTTGCCAAGCAAAGACTGAGGAGAATGGAGAGACGCAGGCTTGGGTTCTCAGCGCGATATAACATACTGTAGCTGCGAAACGGCGCGAACCGTTGCGAGGCGGACGCCCGCCAATCCAATTTCCGCCTAAAGCGGGTTGAAACTTACTGTACCCGTCCGAACAAGGTGTTAGGGGAGCGAAAGGAGGAAGGGGAGTGGCGGTTGGACTGCCCCCCTGGTATGCAGAGTTCACATTTTCGGCGCGGAGTTGCTGATTTGGTTCACTTGAAGGGCCTCCTATCCATCTGTGTCAAAATCTGAGTTAGGTTCATTCTGTCGAGACGCTGCCTCCAAGACTATGAGACTCGAGAACGCTGTGCCATATAATCAAACTATGATGGTGCGGTGTGCCATATCATCTATCGTCCCACAACGGTTGCTAACCTTGTTCTGCGTCTCTGACCTGCGGCACGCACGGCCAATATGTTGGGCAATATACTTGGGGAAATTAGAAATTTTTTTCGAATATTCGAATATCGAATATATTCGAAAATTGAAAATTTCGAATATTCGACTATCGAATAATATTCGGAAATCGAAAATTTCGAATATTCGACTTTCGAATAATATTCGAAAATTGAGATTTTCGAATATCCGACTTTCGAGTCATTCACATTCGAATGATTTATTCGAATAATCGAATAATCATTCGATCGGTCCCAGGTATATTGGGCAACCTGCAGCAACATGTTGGCTTTGAGGCTGATAGCCAGAATGTTCTACAAACATGTTGTTGCACGTTGCCAACATGCGAGTCACAGGTCAGAGACGCAGACCTAGGGGCAGCAATCGTGGAAGGGACGACAGCTATGGCTGTGTTACCGGTAATCTGATCACGGATATCTGGCACAGTAAAAGCATTCGGAAACTTACTTTTTTGACCTGATCAGCAAGATTCGCATCGGGAGGTAGCTCTGCCCCTGGCGTTATTGCCCTCAATCGCTCCTGTACATAGCACTCGTAGGATGTATAATTCATTCTCCGACTAGGAGACGCGAGTAGGTACGCTTTGCGTACGTTTGACCAACAAGTTCATGAAAGAGTTCTAGCACGTTTTGGTTAGTTACTATCAGGAATTCCTGAAAGAACGTGTTAAGCCAGCGTTTAACAAGCTCAAACATGTTCTTCCAGAATTGAACTAGTAAATCAACCAAAACGCGTTGAAACTCATTCATGAACTCGTTAATGAAACGTACGCAAAGCGTGCTCGCGTCTCCTAGTCAGAGGATGAATGATAGATGGGAAGATTTATATAGTGCCCGCAAGGTGCCAACAGCTCGTGCACGTAAACATACCGCTGCTGTTGGCACAGCAGGAGCGATATATGAAAAACCGTCAAACCAGCATACACACACGTCATACATGATTCACTTGATCCATTCCTCTACTGGTCAAATCAGTAGTGTGACCATTATCGAAGTGGGTGAAGTGGGGGAAAATGATCGGGAAACAAGATCGGCGCGATTTTTTTGCGAAGCAACACAAAATTTTGGTCACCGCCTGCGCAGCGGCCCCTGATTGCAGCTAATGAAGTGGATCAAGTACAGTCGAGTCATTTCATGTAATCATGTGTGTCAGTGCACACGCGGTCCATCTTTGATGTCCCCACTCTGGATTCTAGCAGACACTCCTTTGGGTATTTTCGGTGTTCTCTTTAGGTGTTCTTGTCTTCTTGTATATTATTACAGTCTCCACAGGGTGATGTAAGCGATAACAAACGGTCATTTTTTCCATGCGATTGCAAATCCAGGACGGAGACTACAAAGATGGACGGTATTTGTAATACCATGGTCATATGAAATGACTTCATTGTATGGCGTATGCCTACGGTTTTGCCTAAGCTTTAAATAATCTTTGCATTCAACTGGTATATGTAGACTATCAATAAACTTACTCTAGCATCGTTTACGAGCGCTGAGACGTGTTCTCTCATAATTATATCAAGTTCGTCTTCTCCACCCTGCGCGTTTTGCGTCTGGGGTGGATTAGATCTGTGGGTTGGAATCGGGGGTTGAGTTGTTATCCCTTCCATCGGGGGTTGAGTTGTTGCCTCCGGAGGTTGTGTATCGTCATCGTATGGAAGCGGCGGAGGATCAGCAGGATCATCGTCTTCGCCTTGGACAGATGCTACGATTACAAGACATGTGAAAAGTAGCCAAGATGACTGCAATAGTCGAGAGAGTTCGTTGAAGTATGAGGAAGGAAAACCGCACCTTCATTTGCACAAGTTGTTAGTGAGAACTACCATGGAAGGGATGTTCAGTTGTTATTACGGCTGACGCTATACTCATAGCATCATTATGGCCTACTGCGTGACTAAATGATTCGAAAGGAATGTCTCACAAAACGGCTGTAGAAATCGCGGCTTGCGGATGAAATCAAATTGTCCTAATCTGCGTTCTCCGCCTATCGGGTTCTTGCTTTTTGTGGAAAGGCGTCTTTTGATAGTCGGTTATTGCCAGACTAGACTTGTATTTTACACAATAGCAACGGTTTCAGGGTTCGAGAATTTTTTTAGTAGGATGTATATCAGTGTATCATTCAATCTCTGACTAACAATAAGATATGCGAGTACGCGTTTACGTTTGGTTTGACAAGTTCATGAGGGACTTATAACGCGTTTCGGTTGATTTACTACTAGGTTCTTGTAAGAGCATGTTCGAGCAACACGAGTTCAAACATTTTCTTTCACGAACTCCCAATATGCTTTACCAAAGCATGTTAAAACGCACTCATAAACTTACTAAACAGAAGTACGCAAAGCGTGCTCGCGTCTCTTAGGCAGAGAAAGGATGATAGATCACATGATCTTGAAACCTGAAAGCAACACCACTCGACATTCCCTTGTGCTTCTCTCTAACAGCAGGGGTCACATTCCCCGCAAACTCTACTAACCAAGGCAGTACATGTTTAGGTTAAGCGTGCGTTGAATAATAAGCCCCTCAGGCTGCGTTCATATTGATCTCAAAAGTGGGGAACAGTTCTATTACAGCGCTCGAACTGAGCACTGTGCTGGAACTGTTCCCGAACTTCGGGATCGTATGATGCAGCCCTAATTAACCCAGAGCACGCTTGCCGCGCTCTGATGCGAAGCAGCAAACGCGCGACGGCAGAAGTGCCTGCCTGCCTGCCTTCCCCGCATGAAAACTCGAATGAGCAAACTATCCACTGCTACTTCGGTTTCACCTTCCTTTTTGAATAGCATTTTGAGAAATCGATGTCCCTTTTCTAAAGTCCTTTTTTCCAGAATAAACCAGCTGAATTCTTCTCTAAATCGGTATGAATCAAGAAAGCGTTTCACCGACTAGTTCAAATTCTGTGAGCATTTTTCTTTTTTTTTACCAAGGAAATAACATCAAAGATTACAGGCAATTGTCGATAACCGCCGTGGTGTCAAACGCAAAGCATCTGTTGTGGTAAAGGTATCCAATTTCTTTTCGTAATGCACAATTATAATGTTTATCTATTTGAGTAAAGGCAACATTGCGTGCGCTCCCTTTTCTTTGTATGTGTCGGCACCCATAACATTTATGGAATAAGCACGGGGTGTATAAGTTCTCAGCCATCCTGTAATGAATAAATCGCTACTGTTAGTAGTGAGATCGCTACTTCATGGGGAATTGTTCCTAAGAAAGCAGAGTGTGTTCGGCATAACTAAGGAGTTTATTATGGCACTCAAAAAAGTATGAGCACCCACTCTCGACAAACTTATAGCGCTTGGGGGAGAGAGATGAGACCAACCGCTTCGGAGCTTTGCTCTGTTCAAGACAGGGTGCGAGCGCATTCTCTTTACTTCTGGATGAAGGCGCAAAACTAGGACCGCGAACGCGTCTATCAACCATGGCGTCTGAGAATCAGGGTTCACAAAAGGCATGTCGCCACTTCGGTCCCTATCGACGTCTTGCAGATCGAACACACTATCATTCCCTTGTAGGCATGTCAGACAAATTTGGGCGCATGGGTTTTCACTTAGAGACTGATAAGGGGTTTTAACGTACGCACAGCCCAAGCGGCAGCGCAAATGATTCATTTACGGCTGAGAAATCCGTCTCTAAAAACTTTCGCGCCTGCGCTGTGACCGTAAGGCTCTTTCATACTGATCTGAAAGCCCGAAAACAGTTACAACCAGGGTCAAGCAAGGGGTGTGGCACGATCGCTGGTTACGACCCCTCCCCCCCCCCCCTGATTGCTGTCTCAATAAGACCCCCCCCCTGAACTATATACCTAAGATAGCATTACCAGAGTTGAGAAAGAGGTCAGGCACAAGTCTTTCGAAACCTCCCCCCCCCCCGCTCCCTCCCCCTGCCATGAAAGCCCTCATACGCCCTTCTTCCTCCTCTTAACCTCTGGACCTCAAAGTGTGACATTCTGGAGGACATCATCTTTTTCTAGAGAGTTTTCAGATTTCTGAGAGCTGTACGCCCCATTTTCTATGACTGCACTTTATAATCACACGTAATTTGACGGCTGATTTTGATCTGAATGGGCATATTGAAAGGGCCATAATTTTCTCATGAGTGGGACTTTCGGCTTCAAATTTCCAATGTAGCAAGAAGAAGCTATGTGCTCAATACTCATACCAGCAATGGAGCGCTTTCTGGATTTTGAAGGCAATTTAAGGAGGTGTGCCGCACCCCATCAACTATATCAAAAAAACATTTTTAGCGGACAGTATTTATATGAATCGATAGCCTAAACCTTGTAGATTCCATAAAACTGTTTGGAGCCTGATTTGTCTTCTTAGCTCTAAATAATATTTGGTGAAAGCACAGCGATCAAAAGCGAAAAATGGGAAAACGAGATTTTGGTTGGCTTCTAATTCCACAGTTTGCAGGTCTTCTGAAGCGGGATTCCTGAGGTGGACAAAGAAGGAGTAGTGCTTTGTCTTGAGTGCAAAAACGGATAGCTAATTCACCTTTGAAACAAAGCTAACCATGTTGGAATTTGACCATTTCATTCAGGTGGCCTAGTATCTTGAATCTTCAGAATTCGCTCACACTTTGTCTACATGGGTTAATTGACATGCTAATTATGGATATGATACGAATATCATGTTATCACTATCATCAGATTACCGAACTACGATCCCTTCCCCTTTTGACTCCTCAATACGACCCCCCAGGTGTGGCGTGCCGCACCTCACGCTTGACCCTGGTTACAACACAGCGTCCAAACTGAGCGTTGTCCTGGAACTGTGTTCGCACTTCGGAATCAGTATGGACGCAGCCTAAACCGAAACTAACTTCGCTCACTCTAACACTACGTTCACGCTGAGACCCATCCTAAGCCACGCGCGAGGTACGGGAGTGGAGGACTATATGTCGCCGAATTTGGGAAAGTCCCGGGCGGATTCCCTGCAGGAACGCATGTCCGCGTATGTACAAGAGTGCGCATTTGTCGCAAATGACCGCGGGGACCGCCCTTTTTCGGCGACATATAGTCCTCTACCCGAGGTACGGTCACGGGCGCGGAGTGTTTGGGAGCTGCTGTGAATGGTTACTGTGCTACGCTTAACACATTCAAGAGAAGGCCTATTTTTCGATTACTACCGTTTCGGACCAGAGCCTTTTTGGCTTTGTCAAACTTACGACCAACCCGTGGGTCGTAATGTTCGAAATGGTAGTCTTTTTAAAAGAAATTCTAAACATGTCTGCGAGAATTCTTCACAAGGGTTTCGGAGGCGCTGATTACCAAAATATGATTTATTTCAGTTTTTGGCAGTATACGGTAAGTTTACGGTAGTTATTCCTACGAACCTAAAATCATGGATTTTCGTGGAAAATTGTGTTGTGGGGTTATTTCACATGCTGATCACGATTATAGTGTCCAATTTGTCACTGTTTTCCCACAATGGGACTACGGTAGTAGTACGGTAGAATTTTCGTAAGAATCAAGAAACTGATGTAAGAAGGCGGTATTAGAACTTGAGACTATCATTTTCGTAATCAGCACGCTAAAAAACCTATATATGTAACGTTTGAGCTTCCTGGGATGAACAATGCGAAAAATTAATAAAGGCAATTAAATCAATAAAATAGCTAGTTTTTGATAAGCTGACACAATCTCGTGCCCTCCCTGTATTTCTTGTGCATGCAAGCTTGATTTTGCAAAAACAGCACCACTCTGCGAAGAATTTGAGCTAAAGTCTATGCCTTACCTCTATCTACGGTATACCTGCCGTAATATTACTTTACAGTATCCCGAATCCGGATCACTCTGGCTGGAGCTTCGCTAAGGTGTTCTCAGTCATGTGCTAGAAACTCCGTAGAATTCCATCGTATACTGGCGAAGCTGGAGCTTCGGGAATTTTACGACCCACCGTTGGGTCGTATTGTCCGAAACGGCAGAACACAAATGACCCACCGGCTGGTCGTATTGTCGTGAATGTGTCGAGCAGTTAATCAGTTAGGGTCCTCTCTCCAGATTCCATGGAAAAACCCATGCGCCCAGATTTGCCTGGACACTGCCTTTAATCTGCGTCTGATGCCTTTCCCAGTCGCTTGCTAATCGAACGCAGCTGCGTTTAGTCTTTGTGTGCGATGAACCGCCTATAGTTCTGTGCCTTCAACCGGCACTATTTTGCACAGCCTATACTTGATAATTTTTTAAGAGACAATTTGAGCGGACAATCGGTAACGCGACGCCAGTCGTCTTTAACAACAGAGCTGCGCAGCAGGTGACTCACCTTATGTCTGATAAAAAGAGATCTGTCGATTGACTGAACTACTTAGTTTTGAATACTGAGAATATACCAACATCGAATTTTTGCAGGGGCAGTATGTCCTACCTCCTCGTACCACAGAACTTCCATCTGATAGTAGCGATAGTGACGACTTAGGGGAGGTATTATGATATGCCTTCAAAATGCGTCCAAGAGTCACAAACAGATGCGTTCAGATAACTCCATACGAAGATGAAGAAGAGTTAGAATATGACGAGGTGAGCTTAAGCTAATATTACGATTTGTTCTGTTATTGTCAAGTACCTGTTCAGTTACTCTTTGCTGTGTTCTCCTTCGCTATTATTGTCTTCGGGTTTTCCAAATTTTTTGTGTTGTCTCAGACCCTCGCACCGGCCGGCGGCCGCACAAAGACCGGCTGGCGGCACCACAGGTCATTTCACTCAGCCGCGTAGTCTACGACCACCGGCCGGTTATTCGTACGGCCGCCGGCCGGTATGTATCAATCGCGCAACAAAATGGTTGTGGGGCGCCATTCTTCTTCGCTTTGCCCCCCCCCCCCCCCAATCACGAAACATAGTACAGAACCGCAAAAACATATCCATTTATTTCATAAGCATACATAGTGAGGAATTGATTACAAATGAGACTAATACGTAAAGCCTAACACAATATCTAATCTTATATATAAAGCTGAATGTCTGTATGTCTGTCTGTCTGTACGTATGTGCGGAATAGAAATTTTTATTTCTGAACCGATTTGGACCAAACTTGGCACACATATACTTCGGGGCGGGGAGCGTGTCATAGGCTACTTTTCGTGTTACCGGCTGACGGCCGTTCGAGCGGCCACCAGCCGGTATGATTTTTTTGGAGCGGCCACCGGCCGGCATTTAGCTCCGCCCAGATTTACGGAGCGGCCGCCGGCCGAAAGGCCGTCGTCGGACGGTCGCCGGCCGGTGCGAGTGTCTGAGGTAACAGATTAAGAGTCTGGCATACATCATGGTTTGGTCGCCTCAGATGCTCCCAACAAGGCAACTGTTACGAGTTCAATGCATGCCGAGCATCTTGCACTACGATAGTGTTACTTCGTAAAGCACTCTCGCGACTAATCACAAGTGAAATGGAAGCTGATCGGCATGCAGTGGATCGTAACAGTTTACTTAATGTACGCCGGATCCTTGTAGTACGTGTTTGTCACCACCAGATTATGGGCTGAGGCAAACCCAGCGGGTAGGCTTAACCCTCGAGATCACTTTGCACGAAGCTAGTGGGCTTGCGAACCCAGTAGTGCTTCTTGAATAACGATCCAAAACAGTGACAGTGGTTTCGTTTACCCACTGGGTTCGTTAATTGGCCCAGAATGCGCTCACTTTCTTTGTATGTTTCGAAGAACCCTTTTTGATCGACATACGCGCCTTGCGAGGCTCACGCTGCGTTCGCCGCGGCTTGACTTGAGCGGTATATAACGTCAGTCTTATCCATTGATTATCAGTACGGAAGCCGCACTGTACATGCTAGTTGCATGAAAAGTAGACTGCAAGTTGAGATAAGTTGTATGTGTTAAGTCGAGCATTTGATTGTTTTAGAGGTCCAACTCTTTTGATGCTGATACTCACAGGAAATTCTTAGTCAAGGACGATGCCACCACTTCGAAGCGCGTAAGTTGCGTTTTTGGTATAATCTACTTAATACAGCTCAAAACTGCAAAATCACACATTTCACTGCAACTCTATTATTTGAAATGGTGAAAAATCATAAAGACATGTTTTACACGTTACAGCTTCTCTGGAATTTTTATTTGATGTACGTTACGCGATAATCGAAGTTCGTTCTGGCTTTGCTTTTTTTATCTGATTCGCGTATATCGAGATTGTCTCATTTCAAGGAGGCAATTTCTGGTGGTTTTGCGATAGCTAGTGTTTACGCGAACTACAGCAAAGTTTGAAGCTCTGCGACTAGAAAAGGGTATTCCACGCGGAGTATTCACTTTTCTAGTCAACATGAGCCCTCACATGCAAAGTTCATTCGGGATCAAAAATCTTCTTTTGCGTTGTATAAAGTGGGAATACTGTACTTTCATTATAAAACAATGCTGCTTAAGTATAAATTTAGTCGCGCACAACTGCTCCCAATACTATGTGGCCAGTAGATGACGATGGAGAATCATCCTTCAGTGAGGTATCTCAAAGTTATCTCTTTCTTGCTGTTGATTTTGATTTTGCTATAGCATCTGAGTTGCAGCATCAGGGAACACAGAGATTCTGAAATAATGAAAATGACAATGTGAAATTATCCTATCCATTTTGTGACTATCTTCCATCCGCAAAATTAGCCTTACACTTAGTTGCTTATCATGTAGCTGGAAGCTGTTATAGTAGATGCATCGAATTCTTTCCCTTTGCATTATGAATTTTCTACTCAGTTCCTTTCACCTGGAAGCTCACTCCGGCGTACAACTGGTGAAGAAGCGGTATTGGGGAGTACTCCCAATCTTGGTGCGATGCGCGCTGAGGAAGTAAGCACTGAATTATTTATCCACTTCAGTATATCTGTTCCGCATTCAATGCGTTATGATGATGTGAGCCTGGCCTCGGGCAGAGTTCACGCGATTTCATCGTCGCGATTCATCGCGACAAGACAAGTGTTACGAGTTCATTGCACGCCAGTCTTCTTCTGTTTCGGTTTTGATAGTTAGTCACGTTTAGTCATGCTGGAACTATCACAACAGACATGCAGGAGGATCGGCATGCAATGATATTTTACAGTTGTCTTGTCACGATGAATCGCGACGATAAAATCGCGTGAACTCTGACCGGGGTCTAAGACACACGCCATTGTCACGCGCCATAATTATCCTCTTGATGCGCTTGATCCCCTTTATCCACTTCGTGTAAACCGCGCGCTCACTGATTTGATCGGGAACCGCGTACGCCGAAATGCAGTCGGCGCGCTATTTTCATTTCGGCGTACGCGGCGCCCAATAGCAAATCAGTGAGCACTATGGCAAGCGGATCAACTATGGCTTGTGCCATACTTGATCCGCTTGGTCAGTTCAACCGCTTCGCTACTGGTCAGTTTACTGATTTGATCAACAACAAGTGGATCAAGCGGATCAAGTATGGCGCGTGCCAACTTGGAGGGTAAGGTTGAGACTCTTTGTTAGGAAAGGGGTAACTTATCAGGGCAAATTGTTTTCTTGAGGGAATTGCAATGAGCCATCAGTTGTGGAACATGCATTCATCAAGTTTGCAATTATGTTTCAATAAGCGCTGATCAAAAAGCACCTAGAACCACCTTGCTCCCGGCCATTCAGTCCGAGTTGAGAGCATAAGTATAGTTGCTTGATCTTCTCATTTCGAACCTTCTCGGACTCTCTTGCTAGAATATCCATTTTTCTTACCTCTTATTTTTGCAGCTTTTGGCTCGTGCCTCAACATCCGATCAGGAACCAAGGCCACGATCGCATCCACCACTTGGCCAGGTCCGGACTACGTGACTTTCCACATGCTAATCAACTAATTGTTTTTTTTTTCAGATAAATTGTGATTGTGAGTTCTGCGTACGATTTCGAAGTATTACGGAAGAGAGATTAACAGCACCATACGAATGGCTCGAAGACGGTAAAATCCAGCGGCAATGCGTCAGACCTCGTACGCTTCTCGGTACAGGCGTTCGAGGGATCGTCGCCAATGTGAAAAAGTTCTTCAAAGGATTGAAAGTTCTCATAGGACCAACAGAAGCCTGGGGAACAATCCTTTATGCTCCTACACTTACAACGGCACTGGCATGCGGTGTTTCAATGAAAACTGCTTCGACTAGAGGGTATTCCATGCACGTCAGGCGTTATAAAAAGGAGTGGGGTGAAGTAGTGCGCCAATTAGTTGACGCAGAGTTGGAACAAGGAGCGAATACGACTTTGTTTCAAACGTATGCAAAAGTCCGTTACGCGTTTGCAGATTTTCCCATGACTCTCGGCACTTATCATGATTTTCTGAAGTCATTAGGCTATGGTTGCAAAGGTGATGGCAGAAGAACAGATATTGTATACAAACTTCAATCTGCCGTCAAAAGCGAAGTGGCAGATAGTCAAAAGTAAACTTAGACTTGTGTTGTTGTTGAAATTTCATGTCGCTTAGGATGCTTAGGAAAATGTTAATGTGTTTGAACTGTGTAGTTTGAATAATGTATGCACAACCCACTTTCACCTTTATACCTAATTATTTCATGAGGAGTGGCGCGTCAGCTTCGCCGGAGGCTGCGCGACGCCCAGCGCTGGCATACAGGCGGGTTCTGTCACAGTATGACAAAGTTGTACCCTCTGCCTCATTTGGAGTGAGCCCCACTCGAGCGGCTCAGGTTTCGCGCAACCGCCTCGTATTCTGTATTGCGTTGCGAACGCACTCTGCAATCATTTTCCACGCATAATTAGCGACTGTATCTCCCTTCTGAACCTTCTCTCTCGACACGTTCGCGAACGTGTGGACAGTGAAGTTGAAGGGGGAGCTTCAGTCGCTAATTATGCATGGGAAAAATGATGAGAACTCACGCGAGGCGGTCGCGAGGGGTTTGAGCCGCATGAGTCGGAGACATACCAAAGGAGACAGGAGGTTGTCGCGATGTGGCGTAAGCAGTTGCAAAGCGGACGCGTTCATCCCCGCATCGAGCTGACTGGATTGAGGTTGTGAAGCAAATTGATATGTATTACTCCGTCTTCTTCACACTGTGTTACTCTATGTCATTTTGTCTCTATGATAATGTATGACTGTTGTCTTTCACAGTACCTCACCTCCTATCGCTGAATGCGATTTCAACACTTCAATGAAGGATCTGATGATATTTGATGGAATAACCTCTTTTCGATCTAAACACCTGTATACGCCAATTTAGCCATTTTTGGGTGATCGAGCAAAACTTCGAGGAAAAATGGGATGAACAACAGAATATTTGCTTTAAAAGCTAACATACTACTTCTAGGTGATTTTAGTGAATATCTTAAGTCAGCAATATAACTCATTCCGTGACTAGAAAGACGCGAGACCGCACTGCACACATTGTCTAAACAAGCCTAATCGTGTACTTAGCAGGTTTATACTTGTTGTTGTTGTCCAAGTTTATTCACTCTTTGGAAACTTGGAACAAACTTTCAGACTCGTTATGACAATGTCCGCAATGCGGTCTCACGTCTCCCAGCCATAGAATAGATGATATGTTCAGTAGATCTTAGCTCAAGAAAGAATGCGGAAAATCAATAGGTTTTTTGTCAAGTGTAGAGTGCCAATTTAAAAACAATTCCCCGGTCGAAAAATCCAGCGAATATAGTTCGTTTATAAAATCATGCCGACGGATTTGACTGCGGTGTTTGCTCCCAAAAAAAGCATGATACACTCAAACAACTTCACCTTAGTGCTCAGCTCAGTCACTTCCAGTGTCTAAAAAGTATCATAGGTGAGCAAAGAAAACCTATGCGAGTAGGGATAAAAATCAAAAAAGGTGACTGCTGGAAGTGCGTACGTGTCGCGCGCAGTCGCGCCATCGTCATGACTGTTCGAATGCTCTATACTATGTAAATTGTCATTCTGAGTGTATGTAGTGTGTAGATTTGTTCTTCCTTTGTTTTGAATGAAAATTTTCGAACCGATTTCTGACTGTGTACGGAAATGCTTCTGGCCTAGGCCCCGGACAGACTTCACGCGATTTGATCGTCGCGACTGAATCGCGATGAGACAACTGTTACAACATCATTCCATGCCGATCAACTTGCATTTCGGTTGTGATACTTTTCCAGCCCGAAATTTTCGAATGTGAAATGAAAATGAATGGAAAGGTCGGCGATTGAGTCGCGACGATCAAATCGCGTGAAGTCTGTCCGGGGCCCTACGAGTAACACACCTAACAGACTATCAAGCTAGTGTTTAAGGTAACTACAGTAATTCTAAGCTGTAGCTGAAGTCGACTATGGCATTCCATGCAGACGAGCCTCGGCCCACCAGCAGCAAAGTCTATTGGTGATTCGTTGCGCGCAGAGAAAGGACGCCATTGCGGAAGTTGTCGGCGGCTTTGATTAAGCACACTTTCATCCCTCTTGTCCTCTGCTATCTCGCGCAAATTTGAAGTATCGTCGATTCGTTGACTGTACGGACTGGACATAACCGCGGACACGCGCCGCGAGGTAAAACGCTTGCTCCAGTACAAATTCGCCGTTGTTGAAATCGTGCTCTCGCAACATTTCAACCGCGCCGCGCGTGGTCCGTAGCGTTTGAGCAGTCCGTACGGTCAACGAATCGACGATAGCTGGTTGGCCGCAAGAGCGTTCACTCTCTGCGCGCGATGACTCGTCTCTATGTGTGCGAGTTTGGTCCGGATTGATTCAAGAGTGGATTTTCCTATACGGTATGTATGTTACATCAACGGTTTTATTTATATAGACCGAAAATTAGGCGTCGCTATAGCTGTGTGGCGTATTTGTAATACAAAGTCACGAAAATCGATTCCCAGTGTCAGTGACGCAGAGAATGCAAAAACGACGTCCACAGCGGCGGCGCGATTTCGCACGAATTGAGGAGAGCGCGCGTGCACGGCAGCTACGCAGACAGCCAGAGCGACGCCGCAGCAAGCGAAGAGATTGTGCATTGTCTGCGTCGGTGATTCATTCGAATCGTTCGTCGATGTGGTCTTGCTGGGTTCGACTGATCTGCATTATGCATAGTGAATTTTCTTGTCTTGCCTTGGCAAGAGCTTTCCGTCTTTTTTTTTTCAGTTGAATGCTATCTTGCGTGATCTCTACGACATACATTTTTTGTGTCTTCTCTGCGTGTAACCGCTTTTTTTCAGATTCATTAAAAAAATGGATCCACCACTGCACTCTACTGCAACTACTGTACCAGCAAATAATTTTGTGAGTGCAACCGATATTTTTCCATGTCTCATGCAAAGATTGCAGTCCTTAATTGCTCGCCGTCTTCTTCTCAACAAAGAGAGTTTGCCGGCTGAAGAGGTTTCTTTTTTTGATGTTAGCACATCATATAAGGAACACTTGGAACATTTATTACCCTATCTCGCAGATAGGACCTCCCCTCGGATAAATCCGCTTGCAGTCTTCGGACTTATCTGAAAAGATTTTAGGGTAATTACAATGGAAAAAAAACTTATGTGTAGGGCGGACTTTTCTGAAGGGTCTGTGAGGCGGACTTATTTGGGTCAAAAAGGCCGCCTTATCTGTGAGATCTCAAGGTGGTTTATTTAGTGACTTCAAATTACTTATCATCATTAGTCTTAGAGGACTTTGACTTTTAGGCATCTTATCGTATTCTTTTAGCTAAACAACCTTGTTCGGGAGGAATACGCCTGTCGAGACGCAGACTAATTAAAGTCCGACAGTCCCCTCGCCGACTTGGGCGGTGCCACCAACTTCAGATGAGCTGGCACTCCCCGGGTGCTCGGTGGTCCCCTCCCCAATTATGTTCCCCCACATTTATATTTATGTTATAATGATAAAAGAATCTAGTCAGAACTGTTATGTTAGTACAAAGGAAAGAAACTGAGGGTAGAGGGATCAAGTTAAGAGAATAGCTAACTCTTCAGACTTGACATGGAGGTCCCGGGTTTTTCTGAACTTTTTGTCGCATAACTTTTTTTTTACTAAAAAAAAATCTAAGCATAGATTAGGCCAATCTCTGCTGAATACTCTCACCACCGGCACCAGTCCTCATCTACTACGTGAATTACGTAGCCCCTTTCTATATGTACCCTTTCTTTTCTCTTTTCCCTTGAGTCCAGGCGATGGGTCTGAGTGTGTTTTTCTTATTTGTCATATTTTTTTGTGTCATAGTGGGTAATGAATATAATCATGTATTCTTTACCTACTGTGTGTTTGACAGTCTTTTTTTGTTTCATAGCAGATAACGAATATATTACTATATTGAATATGGTATATGATATTTTTTGTCTGCTGTGATTCCTTACAGTTTTTACCGTGATACCACGTGAAGAACCGTAAATATTTACTCTTTCTTCCTCTAGCCCCCTTTCCCCACCCTATTTATTTAGAAACAAATCTAAAACTTTTCATTTTTTTTTCAAAACATATTTTACCTTGTAACTTCCACATTTTCTCTTTCATAATCTATTATCTTTCCAAAACATGTAAAATTCATTTTCACAACCATTTTTCACCATATTTCGCCTACAACTTTACACATTATTTTCAATCATTTATTTTCTTCTTCCTCACTTTCCATCGTTTATTTTTACACAAACTCAGGGACTCTATCGCCAACGCCGGCACTGTACATATGTATAAAATTTTTTTATAATTGTGTTTAATTGCCATAGCCGTTTTGTAATTGCCGCAGTTCCACAGGCGATCTAGACGCCTGTGGATAGTCTGTAGGCTATGTCGCCTATGGTGATTCCATAGGCTATGTCATAGCCCATGGGGTTACCAGAGGCCCTTTTCCCAGTCACGCCGATTCAGAGCGTCATTATGTAATCTTGAGTGGCATATAGGCGCCAGGAGCTATCCTAAGCTCGGCGAAATTTCTTTCAAGCAGTAATGCAATACTGCCTAGTTGTGCTTAGGTCAGTTTCACCTAATTACTTATTTATAAAAAATGCAGCTGTGGACCAATGATTCTCAATACTGGAGCGAGTCGGATATTTACTGATCATCTTTATCCAACTTCGTCACAGAGGTAATCATTTATTAGCTTTCAGTGTTTTATTATCATTGTGTATTCATACAATTTTGTGCAATTTTGTTATTTATCTACTACTAACCAAAAAAAAACAAAAAAAAGAATCATTCGTTTTATGTTTGCAAAACAGATTTCAGGGAAAGGTTCCAGCTTTATTTCAGACGTTCAGGGCGTTTGAGAAAAAAAATGGAATGATTCTCGCTAGAGAACATAAAGTGTCATTAGCAATACTTTTCATCTTTTCTCTTTACGCAGCAGCTAGTGACACTTGTAAGTTTGCCCGCAAGCCATCGCACTATAAAAGAAAAGAATTCTCTCATTGGCGGTTCGGAGAAGGCTTCAGTAAATTACTTTTCACCCACGCCCTTGTAATCAACGTTAGGGAAGTGTTCCCTCCTGAGTTGCTTGCAGGTTAGAAAAAATGTCAATATCCTGTGAAATTACATGTCCATATCATAGCTTACCCTGCTCTGTAACGGCAAATGTTCGGAATATACATTCCGTTCCTTCGCCGTCTTCGAACATAATTCATTTTGCTATATGCTGTCAATTCATGTATTATTCCATGCGTATTCCATGCTCGTAATCTCATTTTCTACAGCACTGCTCATTATTTCTTTACGAATGTCATCATATTCCCGTATGTCACATTTCGTCACCAGTGCGGTCTTTGTCCGCCTCCTTATACCCTCTGGAACATTTTACCACCCTGCGGAAGTCCCTATCCGCCTCCCCAAACGACTACGGAAGCCTCATCCGTACCCCGATTTGCTCATCATTTGAATCATCTCATCATTCGTTCATGTTGCTCCAATTCTTCAGCTCGAGACGAGCTCATTCTTCCGACAGGGCGTGCGAAAGCGTGCCTTCTCATCCCTTTTCCCCCTGTCCTTGTGAAGAAAAATCCAGCGACTAACGCCTGAAGCAAGTCTGCCCTCAACCAAAGCAGCAAATGGTAAATGGGCAACATCAACTACACGTATGGGCAACGTCAACTGTACATATGGGCAACGTCCAACTCAATGATGACATCGCAACCATGCATATGGGCAACTTCCAAGCGAATCCACAGATGACAACTCCAAAATAACCATGGCCAACTTCAAAAGCTCGAGGACGAGCTTTGCCATGGAACGGACATGTCGAGACGCAGACTAATTAAAGTCCGACAGTCCCCTCGCCGACTTGGGCGGTGCCACCAACTTCAGATGAGCTGGCACTCCCCGGGTGCTCGGTGGTCCCCTCCCCAATTATGTTCCCCCACATTTATATTTATGTTATAATGATAAAAGAATCTAGTCAGAACTGTTATGTTAGTACAAAGGAAAGAAACTGAGGGTAGAGGGATCAAGTTAAGAGAATAGCTAACTCTTCAGACTTGACACGCCCAAGGGTCTGCAACATACGCTGAAGCAGTGGGTCTATTCTTTTCATTTTTTTTGACAAATGACTTATCTTTCAAATTCAGTTTTTGTTTGTATAAACCTCATGATAATTCACGCCCTCTCAGAGTTTCGGGCTCATGAGTATTGCGTTCTGGTAAATATGGGCACCATATCTTATCAGATTTGGAAATTTAAAAGGGTCCATAATTGTAGTTACGGTTGTTAGTATAGGGAAGCTGCAGTCTTCTAGACACAAGTTAGAGAAATTTGGGCGCTTTTGGGCGCTTTTGAGCTAAGTATGGCCGGGGCCTTATAAACGAAGGAATTCACAGATTTGTATGTGGAGCAGTCCACTCTAAACGTCCATTTGTTTGGTTTACTAATTTATATATATCTGTCAATGTGGCAAGGTCACGCCGAGCAAATAATTCGAATTACTCAAACAGCCTAAGACAAATCATATCGGTTTAAAGTCAAATGAGGACCTTTCGAGTGTTTGTAATTTACTGAGCTTTGTCTCAAAACATTTTCTGTTGTCGATTAGATGGTAGAGAAATCATTATCCCTTTTCTCATTCGCATCCTTAACACTGATGCTCTATGTTCATGTTTTTACAATCATATCTGACATCATGAATCCACTCAAATCAAATTTGATTCGATGAATCAAGTTCGTGGTCAATGACGTACGCTTGCCATTTTTCATCCAGTACTAAATAGAGTGATTTTAGCTTCTCGGATGCCAACCCAGTACGAGTACTTGTGCTCCTGAAAATGGTCATCATGTGAGTTTACATCTATTAGCTGCTCTTTCATATGTGCCTTTCATATTATTCTTTGTTTTATAGACTCGTAAGTCATTTTGTTCGTCTATCCGAATACCAATCGATCTTCCTGTCCACTCTTTTTTAGACTAAAACTGGTGCGAGAGGATCTAAAACCATTGGAGCGGCCGCCATAAATGATCCACTTGATTCGCTTGATCCACTTCACCCATGTCGCTATTGGTCAAACCAGTGACTAACTAACCAATAGAAGTGGATGAAGCGAACCAGGCGGATCAAATATGGCGCGTGCCATAGATTGAAAATGGTGAAAAAATGACTCGGATTTAAATAGCAGAATATGCTGCAGTATATTATGTTAGTATATAGGCTGAATTTCTTGGGAAACGGAAGCATTGTGTGCCGGGAAAAAATTCTACTTTTTTTTTGGGTGTTTTGCCACAAATGATAGTTCTTTTGCCCCTTAATTCTCACGCACATTTCGCGAGCGAAGTGTTGTGAGTAAAGAGTTGTTGACTTCAACTGGTCTGTCATTTGATTATTCGCATAAATGTATCGTCGAGTCATCCGTAAATATGCCTAGTGCACAATATACATGCTAACTGACGAACTGCGAAACTGAAACCTGCTCATTTCAGTGATTTCTCCTTGTTTCCTCGTTTCTTTTGTTTTAGCTGGTTATATGTTAGTCAGTAGAGCACATTTCTACCTTTTGTTAGGCTAGAAAATGTTTTACTGGAAAGTTACTAGTATGGGTGCCGTCGCTAATAGGGCTAATGTGTGTAATCTCACTATCTCACATATTAAGTTAAAGATGACTCGAGGTTAGGTGAAACTATCGGAATCCAGTCTTCCAGCACCAACGTATAGGCCAGCAGATCTAATGCTCAGTATAGCGTCCTTGCCGCGATTGGGCGGAAAAATTTGCGTTTGCTCTTAGCTATACCTGTCGGTACTGTAGGCGTAGCTATTGTTCCTGCGCAGATCTTGTCGCCTTAACTCGTCGCAAGAACAGTATATCAAGCGTGAGATGACTAGCCTATAGCAATGAAATGTCGGGGTAGTGTACAGGGTGGGAAGCATGCAGATACGGAGCTGGGGCAAAGGTGATGTATTCACCATCTAACTCTTCATTGCTACCTTCGTATGTGCTGAGAAAGTAAAATATAAGTGCAACTGAAAAAAATGATTCTAACGTTCCGTATACAATGAGTTAGTGCTTCCCCATTAATATCCACTGTTCCTACGCTCAACCAGAAATTTTCGCGTTTCTGCGCCATTTTCGATGTTCAGTTATTTATCGAAGGTAGTGTATAGAGCATTCGAAGAATCGTAACGATGGGGCAACCGCACGCTACACGCACGCACTTCCGGCAACCGCATATCCCTGGTTTTCATCTCTGCTTGAATGGTTCTTCTGCCTGCGTACAGCGATTGCACCATGTACGCTGCTTTTCAGCAATATCTCAGTGAGGCCTTTAAATTCACCTTCCACATGCAATTAGGGTATGTCCAGATTTGCCTGGGCGCTCCCTTCAGTGATTACAAACCCTCTGATAGTTTTTCTTAAACGGTGTTGTTTTTTGAAGGAGATAATAGTCCCTTTTACAGAAGGACTGCCACAGTTTCTGCAAACGAATTCGGAGCCTTACACCTGAAATTCTCACCGCTCCAACGGAAAATTGTTATGATCCTGTCACAGGCAGACGTCGAGCTGCCGAGCGTGTTCCTTTTGATCAGGAAACGAGGGATGTCATGAAGAATGTGCGGGAGTTCTTTGAAGAGCTCAAGAGGGAATTGGGGAGTTCTTGTAACGGAACTGTCTTCAATCACCCAGTGCAAATGACGGCGTTAGCTTGTGGTGTGTCACTTGGCACAGCATACCGACTGAAGCCAAGCCAACCTCCACAAAAATCAAGTGATGATGAAGCTACACCACCACCTCCTCCTCCGCCTCCTCGAAAACTTACCAAAGAAGAAGAAGCTAGAAAAGCTCTATTAGAACAAAACTGTGAGCAAATGCGTATACTTGTGATGAAAAAATATGGCAAAGAGTGGAGTGATATTGTTCGCTATTTTGTTCTTGAAGAATTGAAGCAGAATGAGAATTTGACAGTTCTCGAACTACACAATAAGCTTGTTTGGGCATACGCTGACTTTCCAATGCCTGCGCCAACGTTGTACGCTTTTTTGAAAGGTTTAGGTTTTACATACAGAGTAGAAGGGAGCAAAAGCATTGTTGTGAAACCGATTGTGGCCAAGGACACAACTTGCACGATTCCGGTTACCACACTTCGCATGACGGCTGTTCATAATTCTCAGTAGTTGCATCTTGCGTAAGCAAGACTGAGCATATTTGCACCTACCGTCTTTTCCAGCGAGGTCCCATAGACAAAGTTTGTTTCAATCTGATGTAGGCCCAAGCATTTCATACGGGGCAAAGCAATTTCTTCGCTGAAGGATCCTTGAAACTTACCGTAGTCGTCCCCATCCATAGACACTTGATGGGCGATTTTTTTGAATCAGAACAGGCCTTTGCTTTAAAGCACAGCACCGTTTGAGACAAACTAAACTGAACGTGCCGTACTTCACCGCAACCGGTCTACTTCGTCAAATACAAAATCTTTCATAAGGTCTCTATGGAGTGAGGATGAATATATCACCGCCTGCATCTTCAACACTCTGCCTTTCGCTCCGTTTAACCCGATTTACTCAAGAAATCAAAGTCAAACTCGACCGACAAACGAGTCAGGAGAAAAGGCAGCAAGCTGAGTATAAGGCCTCGCACAGAGTTCACGCGATTTGGTCGTCGCGATTCAGTCGCCGCGATTTCCATTCATTTTCATTTTACATTTAAAAATTTCGGGCTGGAAAAGTATCACAACCGAAATGCAAGCTGGTCGGCATGCAATGAACTCGTAACAGTTTTCTTGTCGGGATTGAATCGCGACGATCAAATTGCGTGAACTTTGTCCGAGGCCTAAGAGCGGTGGTACATTGGGAAACTCGCTAGGTTACAGATACTTAAAAAGCTACGCTACCTCTGCATTTTAAAATTTGTGCGTGAACGATTCATGAATATTTTGCAAGTTGCCAAAATTGGGCGACGATGACGGTTTGGCGGAATCGTGCGGAGTATGTCCGAAGGTCCGATGTTAAGAAGAATGGTCCTTCATATGTTGTTCTGTTATTGTTTGCTTATCAATTCTATTGTTGTTAGTTCAAGTTTCGTATTGCCAGCAGACCTTCCTAGAGTTTTCGACAGCAGCCGTATAAAATTTATATCAAGCATTAATTCGTATGTATAGGCACTTTATGGCACGCAAAGACTGGGCGCCGTTGCGTCTGACCAAAATAGTTCGTGCATGGGAGAGGCAGCAGATAGTAAGAGAAACGAAAGAGCGCTCGATTAAATAGACGCCGATACGTCCGCAGTTATTGCGTGCTACGTCTATAGCCTATAGCCTCATGACTACTGCTGATATCATCTCTGTTCCACGAAGAAGATTAGAATTATGTGTATATATGTCCATTGTGTATAATATCACATATGGTTCCCACTTGCTAAACTGTCATGATTTTTGAATGCGTTTGATCCTGCTTATGGAGAATATATGTGGAGTATACATAAACACTTACATAGAATATGGAGAAGTAATTTCTCTTGTACTGAATGCTCTCAGTTCTGTCCAAGTGGTTACGAAGTTGGGAACATAGTTCATGAAAAAAAAAAAAAAAACTTTCTCATCCATTTCGAGGCAAGGATATTCCAGTCCACGGTTGCACACGTTTAACATGTTTTATTTCTAATTCCAAATGCTAATTCATCTTCAAAACGTTGAAGCACTAGTATGAACTCTTTTTATATACGCGAATTCCGCGAAGGAAGTTGTTATATCAAGCTATATGCGATCTCATAACTAGATAGTATTCCTTGTTTTTTTTTTCAACATTTCAAACGCACAGAAGTTATTTGGTTTGCAAAAGGCGCAATATCATCATTCCATATTACTTTACCTGCTATTTGCTTATATCGTCGTTCTTGAATGTTCAAAGATATCAAAGTAAAATGTGGGAGATATTTGACACTCGCAGAAGCATAGAAGCGTAATGCAAGCAACAACTTACGTCTCTATAATCTAGCGCCAGCATTATACAACCGAAGTCATGCAGACTCGACTGTCCCTTGCAGACGCAGGACTCGATCTCGGGATGTGTCAAACATTAGGCGCGCACTATCGCGCTGCGCTAAATCGACATCGCATAGGGAATTGTCACGATAACTTACTCCGAAACACTTACAGAACATTTGTTTTAAGAACGAGGAACACTTACAAAACAATCTCCAGTTTTGCTTGTGCCGAACAGGTTTTCTTATGGTGTGTCGTTATTCAAATGGCCTAACGTTTCGGCGCGTGCGCCGTCTTCAGAGGCCTAAAATGGCACAAAGCATTTAGGCCATTCGAATGAAGATACACCGTACCAAACCTGTTCGGCACAGCAAAACTGGAGATTATATACGATGTCCAGGTTTGAAAAAATTGAAACATTCATGTTATTAGACTTACATAACATTTGTTTTAGAAACAAGTGATTAACAACTGGTTAGATACGAGTTCATGACAATCACAGATTTCTAATGGTGTGGGCATATCGTGCTGTGCTAGGTTGTTCCAAAAGTTCAGTCTGATTTTTGTTGCCTTATGTTTAATGCAGCATTCTCTCCAAGTCTTGCATAAAATGTGGTATTACACAGTAGATCACTAAAAACCCTCTTTTGCTCTTTCCGATGCTTAGTACTTTTGTTCAAAAACCACATTGTTCTTGAGCCTAAGCGTGCAGGGTGCCACAGTTTAACAATATCCACAAAGGTTGCGTTTGGATAAATTTTCTCAAATCTGCCAATAAAGTGATTTATGTAAAGGTGTGAAGCGAATGAGCACTCAGAGGGCTAGCATAATCAACCTCATATCCAGAGAAAAACTAGGTTAATTGCCAATCAGTTGCCGAAAGATCGAAGCCTCCCTTCCACAAGCGCCAGAAATTTACGCATAGCGACCGCTAATGAGTGCAGTAGTGTATACGTTAGAGTAAACCAAACGCAAGCAAGGCCCATCCTCTGGTTGGCTCTTTTCGTTTGCTACTTATAAAAATAATGCAGATAATTTGAAACAAGCATGTTTCGCTTGCGCAAGACACAAAAATGCGGCTTTTTCTTCTCTGTGCGCAGGACAACGACTACATGGATTCGCTTTAGTCACGAAATACTCTTCGGAATTAAGCTTTCTAATGATGACAAGTAGGTATGTCTGTCATTTTGCATGTGAGAGCATTGCTGTGCCAAAATGGATGGTTTTGCAAGAGTAAAACCACATCGAAAACAGCAATTCATGTACTTTCTAAAACTACGCTGGCTGCTATTCACTAAGCTCTGAATGCAGAGATAAATTGGGAAAATGAAATCATTTAAATTTCGGGATTTACAAGCAAGCCCGTTAAAAACATAAATGTGTGCCATAAAAATCCAAAACAGCTAGTACCCTAGGCTGATTCCCTCTTTCTATATGGACAAAGTTCACGCTGATGGAGCTCTTCCTAGAAAAGTTATGATTCTCAAGAAAAAATGCCAAAAAATCAGTTTCTCAAGAAAATTGATATTTTGACATTTTTTAAAAAATCATAACTTTTCGAAGAACAGCTCGATCAACACGAACTTTGCTCAGGCAGAAAGAGGGCGTGAAATAGTCTAGGATACTGGCTGCCTCGGATTTTCTGACACAGTTTTGGGATTTTTAACGGGCTTGCCTCAGAATTCCGAAATTGAAGTGGTTTCGTTTTCCTAATTTTATCTCTGCTTTCAGAGCTTACAAGGGATTAGTCAGAACTCGAAGTGGCCAAACCAAACACTGTATACCATTCGATGCAGTATGAAACGCTGACTTCGAATTCTTCCTAATCTGCTTATCGCTTTTATTGAATCGTACATAGAAGCTGTGAACATGAGCACATTGTTGCAATTTCAGCTCAGCTTTAGGCTTTGAGAATTTGAAGTAAGTTAGCTGCATGTTTTGGTCCAGCATTGAGCCGAACGTAGTTCTGACAGCCAAATTTTCACTTTCACACATAATTTCCTAACAAAATATTGGACTTTAATGGCTGCCTTTGTCCAGAAGAGCGATAAGCAGGTAAAGAAGACAGATTTAGAGTCAGCGCTTCGTGCTGCATTAGCGGTATGCAGCTTGTTTGGATTAACCACTTCGATATCTGACCTCCCTTGTTAATTGATAGCAACCAAGATGTTTCTAGAAAGTGCATGAATTGCTGTTTTCAATGTGGTTTTCGTGTGTCACCTGTATCCCCGTTGATCGTCGTTTGGCACGAGCGGGATCCAGTGACGCCTCCATTCATCCCTGTCGCGAGCGATCGTTGACCAATGTCTTTTCATCGCACCAGGTGCACGAAGAACGCTCTGAAGGACTGTTTTGAAGGACTTTTGAACATGTCCGACCATCGAGTCGGCGGTCTTCCTATTCCGCGTTTGACGTTCAGCGGTGTCCAATCTGTTACAGCTCTGGTCCACCGATTGTCGTCAAGACGCATCACGTGTCCCGCCCATCTGATTTTATTATTCTTGGCGTATGCGGCAGCATCCCTGATTTTCGACCGTTGACTAGGGTGGAGCTTCGCAATCCTTCCCTCACTTGCGCGAGTCGGGACACTCCTAACATCGCTCTCTCAACAGCGCGTTCGATGACGCTCACTGCATGTTCGTCCTGCTTCCTCATGGTCCACGTTTCTGAAGCGTACGTCAAAGCAGACAAAACCATCGTGTTGAATAGATGGGCGCGGAGCCGGGTGTTCTTGATCTTTTCATTACGTCCTCAATTGCCTTGTACGCTCCCCATGCTGCTTGTTTCCTCCCGCTCAGTTCCGGGGCTAGATCGTTTATCATGTTGACTTCCCGACCTAGGTAGACGTAGCTGGAGCATTCGGCGATCGTCATTCCATCCAGCGTGAAAGGAGCATCAGGAACCCATCCGTTCCTCATGAACATCGTCTTCGTCAGATTTAGCTGCAGACCGATCTCTCCACACACGTCATCAAACTGGGCCAGATTCGTTCCGCTTGCGTGATGTTCGGTGTGATTAGGACTATGTCATCAGCGAAGCGAAGGTGGTGTAGTTGCCGGCCGTCGACTTTCACACCCATGTCCCACCCTGGTGTCCGCATGATGTTTTCGAGAGCAGCGCTGAAAAGTTTCGGCGATATGGTATCGCCTTGTCTACTCCTCTCTTCACGTCGATGGTGATGTCCTTGTAGAATGGTGTGATCTTCGTTGTGAAGTCGTTGTACAGCTCACGAATCATCTTGATGTACTGAGTTGGAATACCCTGACTGTTCAAGGCATCGATGACAGCCTCAGTCTCAGCCGAATCAAATGCCTTCTCCAAGTCGATGAATGTGAGACAGAGCGGCATCCTGTGCCCTCGCGATACTTCGATGAGCCTTGTTATCGTGTGTATGTGGTCCGTAGTGCTAAATCCTTTCCGAAACCCAGCTTGCTCGCATTGTTGTCTTTCGTCTAACTCTCTTCCGATCCTGTTAAGCAGTACTCTGTGAAGAGTTTGGACAGTGGACAATAAGCAGATAGGGCGAATTTCCGATGTCGCGGGGGTCTCCCTTCTTGTACAGCACCACGGTCTTGCTGGTCTTCCATTGACTTGGAATCGTGCCTCCGTCAGGTACCGCGTGAAGAGCCTCGCCAGAGTTCTGATAAGAACTGGTGAGAGATTTTTTTAGGTGTTCCGGTTTGATCCTAATGGGCCCGGCTGCTGTACGGCTTTTCATTGACATGATAGCATGTCGAACCTCTTAAGGAAGAACTGATGGTGCAACATATCCGCCCTCCTTGAGATGGCATGATGGTAGGTGGACGTGGCTCGCAAAGAGATCCGAGTAAAACTCTTGGATGACTTTCTCCATCGACCTTCGCGAAGTTGTTGTGGTTCCATAAGGGCGGTGGAATGCGGTCATCTTAGTCCTGAAATTGTGCTTCGGCGGGCGTTGCGTATGCTTCTTCCGGCCTCTGCGGCGTCAACCATAACTTGTGCTCTTCTCTCCTTGAGATCTTCTTTTAATGCTTCTCTGCATTTCTTCGCGAGCTCAGACATTAGCTGGTAATTGCCTAAGGCTCGTCCTCGTCCACTTTGGCGTATTAGTTGTAGAGTCTCTGTTGACAGACGCTTCTTGGTACTTCTTGGGCTCTCAGCTTCCTTAGCACAATCGTGGAGATGCTGAATAACTGTTTCATATTCCCCGTCGATGTTGTCGATCACAGTGTCTCGCCAAAAGCCGGGTATGGAATAAAACAGGTCCCAGTTGATGATAGTCGTGGGACAGTGTTCCCTGAACTTAATGGCTCTTTCTCCATTTCTTGAGAAGTAGAACTTGGCACGAAGGAGACGATGGTCCGATCCCGTGTAGATCGGAACAACATCGACATCAGTCAGGCAATACCTTCTATTGACGATGATGTGATCAATCTCGTTATGGTACTCTCCACCGGGCCAATCCCAGGTCCAGCGTCGGTAAGGGGGCTTTTGAAATTGCGAGTCTCCATGGATGGTCTTCGTCGTCATGATGAATTCAGACAGTCTCTCCCCTTGTTCGTTCCATTGTAGTCCATGGATCCCAATGTGAAGCTGTGCAGGCGACCTTCTTGCTCCGATTTTTGCGTTGAAGTCACCGATGATGATCTTGTAGAAGGTGTGCTCTTCTCTGTAGAACTTCTTCAAGTTCATATAAAAGGCCTCGACTTCGTCTTCGTCGTAGATTGATGTTGGGGCGTACGCTATGAAGACCGTCATGGCTGGGATTGATGGACATCGTGGTATTCGTAAATGTCCGATCCGGTTTGAGTTGTTCGAATGAATCGATGCCCACGGCCAAACTCATATTGACAAGGACTCCTACACCGCCGACTCCCTTGCTGTCGCATGTTTCTAAGAACAGTTCTTCTCCAGTACCAAACGTGGCGTCCAGCGGGTGGTGTCTCCTTGTCTTGGTCAGTCCGATGATCCTAGTCGTACTTGATCTTCTTTGCTTGCATTAAGAGATCTTCGATGGATGCGTCTATGCGAGCGTCCGTGCGTTGTAGTACAGATTGTCATCATTGTCCGTCTCGTTTTCGGCAGTCTAGATCGCCCTTCAAACCTTATCCCCACCGGCGCTGCCTTACCAGTGGCTCTTCCAAGATTAAGGGAGCTTTCCATTTATCACTGTGTTTAGCGATTGATTACTCGCAGGAGCAGCTTGTTGGGCTCAAATCTCCCGCGAGGGATGGTCGGAGCTTATTTGTTGGAGACGACTCCGAGCCCGCCTCTCTCACACGTGCCCGGGAAGTAGGTATGCAAGCTTTTGATGAGGCAGGGAGTCCGTCCCCCGGCTATGCTTGCCTGTCAGAGCAGGCGCGGGGTCGCTTTTGGTCGTCGATTAGCCCCATATCCGCCACCTGGGGACGCCCCACGTAGCCTCGCGACTAACCAGCTGGGATCCCTTTGAGAGGGAGATCCGTGGAATGTGGTTTTACTCTTGCAAAAACATTGTGCTAGGAAGAAGTTACGATCTTTTGGTGAGAATGGTGGAACAGAACTTTCGGACCCAACATAATTTCAACTGCAACATTTTTTTTGTTGGTAAATAAAATCTTTCAGGTTGATAACTAGATTTTCGAAGTCTCAATAACTGCCATTAGAACAAAACTGATTTATTTAGTTCCACAACGCTAGACGACAGTGGTGATCCCAAGATATCCGTTCCGGGGAGGGGGTCTACAAAATTGTGCGTAGCGTTAGCAATGCACTGCAAAGTTTTTAAAGTGCTTTTCAAGTCATTGCAGACCCATAACCCCGAGTTTTTCTGTGCTCACTGCTAGGCAGTAGCCGACTTGTTATTATGAGTGAAATCAAAAAAAACGTCGATATACCCGTCGATATATCTTGGGATCACCAACTAATCTCTTTTTCAAGCTTATTTTTTGCATGAAACATATGATTTGTAATCAGGGTCGAGCAAGGGGTGTTGCACACAACCTCGGATATAAGAGCACGTACAAGCCAATTACTTGTCCAAAATCTAGCGAATTTTTTGATTTCCACAATCATTGCGGTCAAGCCATTAAGGTCCATGCAGTCTCCTATTTTGAAGTGTGAACTGATCGTCGGACACATTTCAGCAATTATGGACACATCCGTAGCACGAAAATTGGAAGTTTAGAGACTTTTACAAAGATTGCTAACAAGAAGTGGCTGCAAGTTCTGTACAACCTCATTTCTGTCAATTTCGTGAAATTATCTTTTGTGCGCATCAAATCGCAGGATATTCTGAAACGTAGCAAAGTAAGGTAATTTCCATACAATTCTACCATTTGGACTCGTTATTTAGAATGTAAAGTGAATTATGGCTACTTTTTAAACTGTCAGCAAAGTTTTGGCCCAGTTGTATGCCTAGGTGATACAGCTCAAGCTGGATCTGTGATGCGCACCTAAAATTGCTAGAGTCACGCGTCCTATAAATGTTAGCGCTCGCTTTTTTATCGAACGCTTACAAAAGAGTGATTTTGATTTGCACAGCTTCAAAGCCGTGTCCTCAACACTTCTACTACTTTCAAAAGTGCTATTGGAGAGGATAAAAGATCTGAGTGATGCTACTACTGCTATCACTACCAACATATACAATGCTCTGTCTCTCTCGTCTGTCACGAGAGTCCTTTTCATCTAGGTAATGGTCAAAACATTCAGTTCTAGGCGAAAACTGTTCGAGAATTGACATTTGAACATTAAGGACAGTTCTTTCGATAAATAATTCAGTAATACTACTAAATAAGATACATAATGCATAGCGAATAAATTTTCGGATAAACGTCCCACGCTACAGCAGAACATATTGCGATATGATCTTGATGAAGCTATGGTAAATCAATGCACAAGCTATAGTTTTCGCCTTTCAATCTTGATTATTAGTGCCACAAATAGTTCCCGTATCATAGCCTCCAAAGGCACAAGGCAATTTGCAGCTGGTTCTACAACCACACATTTGTTATGCGTATATTTTAGACTGTCATTTACAAGGAAGATTTTTTTTTTGAACTAACCAAGTTCGTTCGGCACACTATTACACTAGTTGAGTAAAAGAAATTTATTAAAATTTAAAAAGAAATTTAAAAAGAACCATAATCTTATACAATTTATAGGAACCAGTTTATAAGCCTATGAGCTTAATATTTCACAGATTTTGTGTCCTGATAATAATCAAATGCGTAAAGATAAGATGCTTTGCTAGCCACTGTTCGCTCTTCTGGAGTTTCTTTCGCGGAAATTCTCACAGTTGTCGAGGATGCGTTGAATGAGGTCTGTTGTGGAAATGTGTTTTGTTCTGAAAGTATAATATTTAGCAGAATGTTATAAAAATTCAGTCAGTCTACTGACTCTATGCATCCCAGTTCGTAGGCTTGCAACACTCACCAGAAAACTTTAAACATTAAAGCCATTTACATTTTCTCATATAAACGGCATACAGCGTTCCAGAGAATAAATGCTAAGAAATCTGGACTTGCAAAGTGTTGTTCAGGAAAACTGCATTTGTTAGAAAGACATTTGGTTATGCGATTTTCTGCCTACTAGATCATGTTAAAAAACTTAGAGATAATGCTGAAAGACTACAAAAAACACTTTTTAGATATCCTCTATAGCCGTTTACGACGTGTCACGCAATTACTGCCAAATTCCTTGGAGGTTTTGGACGACTATGTCATGATGGGAGGAACCGAGCAACAAAATCTAAGATTTTCTGCATTCCTCCTCTATTCATCTTCTTGTTTATGCTCGCGTGTAATTTCTTTAGTGCTGCATATCCCTCAAATTACTACTTTGAAATCTGTGATAGAGCAGAGGGTGTGCGCACGTTTGAATCTTAATTGTCTCCTTAGCGCGGGCTGGAGGTCAAACTCCTCCATTTCAGGCCTATGCGCACGATTAAATCTCAAATGTTTCCTTGATTCGGGTAGGGGATCAGAATCCTTTATTTCGGTCCATTCCCGCGACTACGGATTCTCTAACGACCAGGGCACGGCACAGGTGGCTTAGCAAGCAAGCTGGATATCGTTTTTGGGGAAAAAACAAAGGGGATATCGTTTTTGCGGAAGAGCATAACGTTGTCTTTCGATCTGCGGCCGGCACGCTGCCGGCATGCCGCCAGCAAATAAACAAAGGGTTTGTTTACAGCGAAGTGAAGATGAAATGACACCAAAATAGGTGTGTAGATGGGCAATGGGGAGTTAGGACTAAGTATGAAAAATTATGAAAAAATTATGTGAACTAAAGGCGTGCTCAACTTTTTTCGGAGTTAGGTGGCTTTCAAGCCACCTGGATAGCCACCTGAGGTGGCTTAGGAAAGAAAAAGTCATAAATTTTTCCTCCCTCACATAATTTTTCTACTTTCTTTACATACTTTTCATCTACATCCCAAACTAGACAAACTGGTTCCTAAACCGCCTCAAACCCCCTTCTCCCCGCTTAGTTATAGCCCCTTGAAAATTTTGAGAGGCGGCGGAAAGGCTGCTCTAGGCGCGTATTGCTGCACGATGGATACATCATGCCGCCAATCCGGAGAATATGAATATCATCGCGTGTGTTCGATGATTCTTTTTCGTTTTTTTTTCTGCTGTTGCTTTGTTCCGTTCCTTTTCGTGTATTTTCTCTTCGAATATCTCGTGGCGGTCGTAATTTCATTGAAGTCATAGGGGGCTTCATTTTTTGGTGGGTACCAAGTGATTGGGGGGTAGACGAGTTGTGGAATAAGGTTTATTCGCACGGGCGTAGATTATTCGAGAAGAGTGAGGTGTCCCGGTGTGGACCGGGGAGCAACCAATAATACATTCGGGGGCTCCTTATATAGGTAGTAAGGCGGAGCTGGCCCGTGCACAATCAGACTGTCCAAGAAATATACACAAGAAAGGGGATGCCGCGGCTTGGCGCGGCCCCTGGAAGATAGGTGCCACTCACTGCTGAGTGATACGGCACTTAAATATAGGCGATTGGGGAATATAGCCTATGGGGAATACCCGTAAGCTATAAGGATTACAGAATTGCTGAGGTTGATGATGCATAAATCATCAACACTCCGGGCGAGCAAGGAGGAGGCGAAATCTGTTGAAATGTAAACAAATAAATACAATCAAAACCTTCTAAAAGCATTTGTACTTGAAAATTGAGACATAGCTGTGTTCTTGAGTGTAATCGATTAGATTGGTTATTGAGGTTGATGATTCATAGATCATCAACACTCCGGGCGAGGAAGCAAGAAGTTAAGGTAGGCACAAATACAACAAAAGCATAGAATTGTGTAGACTTAGATACAGTAATGGAAGCTATAGACGGAAGAGAGTTTACGGTGAACAGTTGTAGTGGTTGCTCGTTGCTGTCCCGTAGTGTGGCTTCGCCTTTCGTCGTCGTCTCTTCTTCCTCGTCGGATCTGCTCTCGTCGATTTTGAGTTGACAGAATCGTTGTCGGTGATTGTCTTCGTGATAGCCGGCGCTTCCGTGATCAGATGTTCGTGATATGTGATCTTCGGCATGTCCTTCATCTTTGTCTTGGCTTGTATCGTCGGTTGAAGTGTTCTGGCAAAAGTTCCATTCGCACTCCCCGTGTTGGAGCTGGAACTAGAGCCTAATATGCAGCGAACTTTGGCCAGCCAACGTTGTCTGTCTGCCTTAGCTTCGCGGTTGAAAGCAGCTGTCCGGCGTTTCCTCTTTTTCGGTAACAACTTCGTTGTCTTTTGAGGTGTTAGTTCAGCATGCGCTTGGAGAATTCTTCTGTTGATTGCACGTGTACTGCTTTCGTTGAAACTGGTGCCCGTTTTCTTCGCCGTCAGCCATTTGACGTGTCGGTGAGGGTGAGGGGCGGATTTGGAAGCTTCTTGCATCGTTGATGTACAACCAAAAGTGCCGACGATCTCCGTGACGTTGGTACGGCTTGTACCAGATATGACATATCCAAAGATGGTCGGGGTCAATATGAGCCCGGAGGGAAGCTTGAGCACTGTTTCGGTGTGAACAGTGACGAGGTTCAGAAGATCTTGTCCAATAATGAGTTCAGGCAAGACGCTTTTATGAGTGAGCGTATCTTGAGCTATCTTCAAGTTCTTATTGGAAATGAACTGAACATCTGCATCTGTGAGATGTGCTGTATGTAAGTTGGCAGTCAACTTCTCTTTCGTGTGCACTGATATCTTCTTAAGCTTCTTTGCGTTGTGAAAGCTTTTCAAAGTAATTTGCACTTCATTGGAACTGAATGTCTCTTTCAGTTCTCCCATTCCTGATGTGGTGAATGACGTCGTTTGTATGACTGGCAGCTTAAGCTCATCACCAAATTTTGATTTGATGAAGCTTCGCTGGGCGCCAGAGTCAATCAGTATTGTTATGGGTTGATAATCCCAAATTGCCTCGTTGAATATCATGGCTGAAGCCATTTGAAGTACGCTTTGGCACACGATTGGCAGTTTAGTTGAGCTGTAGACTTTTTGTCCATTTCGCCGTGCAACGGGTACTTCAAATATTTTGCGATGATCGAAGTTGGTTCTTTGCAGTATCTTAGAGACATGCAAATGATGATTGCTGCTCGTAGGAAATGGAGACTGCTCGAGATTTCCTCTCTCCTTTTCCCATTCCGATTCATTATCTGTGTCCTGATGGCCGCTCGTATGTGAGGTGCTTGGAAGCAGTGTCTTCATCGTTAGTGCGGTCGTTTCCCGAAGAAAGATGATGTCGTCGATTGCGTCTAGAATCTCGGAAACATTGAAGTGATCGCCACATACGGTTTCCTTCTGTATGACGGTTGCGCAGATTTCTTCAGGGAATTTGGACAGAATCATTCTGCGCCAAATTCTGTCTGCGCTCATCTTCATTCCAGTTTGTTCCAGGTGAATGATCCGCGAATTGATTGCTTCAAAGGTTTCTCGGCAACTTTCGGGATCGTCCTTTGCTCCATGAAGTCCTTCGATTTCGTTGATGAGTATATCTGCCATGTTGGCAGATCGGTCAAAGTGCTTCTTCAGGATATTTACGGCCGTCTTGTACTTGTCTCCAACGACGGGGATGTAGTTCAGAGCCGCAGCAGCTTTTCCTTTGAGAGCCTGCTTCAGAAAAAGGAATTTGTCGCCATCCGATAGGTTTTCGTCACAGTGAATGAGTGATTCGAACACTGTCCAAAAACTGTTGAACTCTCTGAAGTTGCCAGAGAATGTAGGAACCTCTAGGAGCGGTTTTCGGATATTGATCTGGCGTCCATTTCGTTCCGTTGTTGAGCCTCTTCCTATCTCCCTGACTGGCTGACTCGGAGTACTAGGAGCAGGCGTATGCAGAATTGTCGATTGCTCCCTCAGTTCATGTTGTCTGAACTGTATTCGGCTTTGCCATTGAACTGCCATGACTTCCAGATCGAGTGCTTCCAGCTCCAAATGCTTGCTAAGTTGAACCATCAACTTCTCTCGTTCCTTTTCTTCACTGCGTGCACTGACGTACTCAATGGCAGCGTTGAGCTGTGTTTCTTGCAATTCCACAGCGTTTTGCAAAGAATTGAGGAGATTTGTTATTACTCCTGCCTTTTCTTTGATATATTCTTCACATTTCGCTTTTGTTGTAGGAAATGTGAAGGGGACGTCAACGTTTTCCACTTCGGACTCGTAGGATTTTATGAGCTTGCAAGCGTTGTTGATTTTGTGTTTGAAGAGTTGAAGAGCGGCCATTTTTGCTATACCGACTTCTATTTCTTTCTGTCCTACAGCAAGTTGGTTGCTTTGCTGTTTCTTCAATGTACAAGTAGGGAGGTTTTCGCAAACTTGTAGGCTCGTTAGTGGTGTTGTTGAATAGAGACAGCTGTGTGCTGATCTCTGATGAGCAAGCGTGCCTGGTTGGCTTGAACGCTGTGCTGACTGGTAAGGTGGCTTGGACCTTGACCAGATAAGGATTGGGTTTCGATCCTTTAAGTCAAGAGTTCTTGGTCGAACTTTGACTTTTTTGGCAAAATGAGCTCCTGTGACTCAAGTTGCCTTCCTTTCAAATCTCAATGTATTGATCTCCGGTCCTTGGATAGGATTCGCGAGAGATCTATGAGATCGATTGGAAAATTGCACCCACAAAAATTTGTTCCGCTCTCTGGATCACTTACGAAAAGGATTCACAGAAAGTTTCACGGTCTTATGTGGTTATGTGCTGCACTCACAAAATTTGTTCCACCCTCTGGATCGCTTACGGAAAGGATTCACAGAAAGTTTCACGTATTAGGTGATTATGTGCTACCTACTGATTTCTCTTACACCTTTCTGGATCACTTACGAAAAGGATACACAGAAATTTTCAGATGGTCAGTGGTATTCCTACTGATTTCTCTTACACCTCTTTGGATCTCTTACGAAAAGGATACACAAAGATTTTCAGATAGTCAGTGGTAGCCTTCCGATTTTTCTTACACCTCCCTGGATCTCTTACGAAAAGGATACACAGGAATTTTCAGATAGTCGGTTGGTTGTCTTCCTGCCACGCGGGTCTTGTGGCCTCGATTCCTCCGGTTGCAGATAGAATACGAGGTAGCTTCACTGGTCGATGCACCAATTTGGTGGGTACCAAGTGATTGGGGGGTAGACGAGTTGTGGAATAAGGTTTATTCGCACGGGCGTAGATTATTCGAGAAGAGTGAGGTGTCCCGGTGTGGACCGGGGAGCAACCAATAATACATTCGGGGGCTCCTTATATAGGTAGTAAGGCGGAGCTGGCCCGTGCACAATCAGACTGTCCAAGAAATATACACAAGAAAGGGGATGCCGCGGCTTGGCGCGGCCCCTGGAAGATAGGTGCCACTCACTGCTGAGTGATACGGCACTTAAATATAGGCGATTGGGGAATATAGCCTATGGGGAATACCCGTAAGCTATAAGGATTACAGAATTGCTGAGGTTGATGATGCATAAATCATCAACACATTTTTTGCAATTTCGGGACGCCATCTCGTGCCGAGCCCTGGTCTAGGGTCAAAGGGGACTTCGTAAAAATTCGCAAAAGTCAAGGGGGACTTCGTTTTTTGCATTTTCAACTAGCCACCTCGTGCCGAGCCCTGCTAACGACATGCAGCACATGCAGCAGAAACATTAATTGTAAGTAGAGGCGGCTCGAAATGGCGGAGTTCCTTCCCCTATCCACCCAGAGCACAATAAACTGACCTTTGAGTAGTGAGAAAGCGGTCAGCCCTTTTGAAAGGTTCGTAGCAGTCGTCACTTTCCGGGCACGTGTAAGGAATATCATCATGAGCAATCAAATCTGCCTTCAAAGAAAAAAGATTATGTTCTGTTTTGAGCTTACTTCATAGTGGTTTTTTGCGCAATGTGAGTGTAAAAATGGTCATTTGAAGTGTACTCAAGTAATGCGAAATAAATAAAATATGTATGTAGATGAAATTTGGTAGAATTCTTTTTTGGAAGTTTCACTCTCCTCACAATACGATTTTGCTTTTATTAGGACATGTAAACCTGCCCTCCTCAAATTGAAGACCTCGCACAATCTAATCATATTGTATGTTCAATTCCTTACAAATCTAAAACTAGTCCTTAGTTAAAAGCTCAAGGTTTCGATAAATTCTCGTTAATTCATTACATTATGTTGTATTTTAGCTAGCGTTCTTCATATCGAAGTGATGGGCAAAATAATTGGCAGTGCAATGTTTTGAAACGAATGAGATGTAGCTTGAACAAAACTCAAATCCCGTGCTCTTGACCACAATAATTAACTTTGGTTTGGGAGGGATTGGGATACCCAATTAAACTTCATTTTACTAAATTTTACCTGCATTTGATCGAGCAGTTCAATAGTAGGATAGAACATCCCATGATCGACAACATTATCCACATACTGACATTCGCGCACTGCGGCCATGCGTTCTTCTTGTGTCATGACAACAGGGCCCCCCTTGTATTTTGTCACCAAATCATCATTGCATACTGTAAAAGGATGTGAATGAAAATGCGATAGAGGTAAACAAGGAATATGCACATTAGCCTATCTTAATAGCTGGTTTCCAATCGTTTGATGTCTGATTGTTGTTTTTACTGTTCATATGTCGTTATATTGTGCTCACAATTATGGGGCACCTTGTATAGGCCATCCGCGCAGGGCGCGGAGAGTGCGCAAGGTGTGTATTGCGCGCACTCCTCTTTCCTCGTGCACTCTCGCCGCCTGTTTTTCTCTGCGCTTCTTCCAGTCGTGAACTGCCTTCAGTGTACGCAACAGCGTTGCTCTCCGTGCGCAGCGCGGACGGCCTATATCACCTCCCGCAGGAGTGGAAGTTTCAGAATCTCCGTTCATTTTTTCACATGTTCAGGTGATTATAGGGAAAGAAGTACAGGAAACGAGAGAAGAACTAGCTATTAAAGGGGACACAGTAAGCCCTCTTTGGTTTTACTCCTTTCACTTGGACCCGTCCCTGTTCTTGATGATTCATGGAAAACGGAAGTTTTGTGACTCAGTCAAGTAGCACTAGACAGCACTTTAACCAGATACAGGAACGACAACATTCCGATCCGCTCGCCATTCACCCTTGACTCGTGATGTTTCTTGGAAGGCGATATTGTAATAGCATTTATTTTCCTCAATTACTGGGTGATATGGGCTGCTTCAAAAGCTTTGGTTGGGTTCACTTCAGCCGAGTTGGAATGAGGAAGGTTTGCTACAAGTTACTAGCACTAGTATGCGGCTCAATTTGGACTTACGGAGGTAACGTGCAAATAGTGGACGCGAAATTACTGTTGGAATGAATGGATGCCAACTTTAAGGGATTGGGAAACGTTTAGTAATTCGCTTTTTGCAAGAAAGACATGCAGCAGCTTTTCTACTTTGGTCCATTTTTAATCTTTTGATAAATCACTAGGAAATAAGAGTGGGGTTGCAGACTAGACTCAAATCACCTGCTTTTTTCAAATTGCATTTTTGCGCCTTTCAAATGGATACTAGACAAAGAAGGCTAGGGTATAGTAATCCCCCCATCACCACAGCTCGGCTGTGGGGGGGGGGCTGGCTAAGTTAAAGTGAACGCTTCGTTCCGGCATTCTGTGAACTATCGGTTTAGGTGCAGATTGCCTCCAGACATTATAATCGTGTACGTCCTAAGATAGCAGCCGCTTGATTAGGCCCCAATCAGCTGTTCATTGATCCTCTCTTTTTGGGCCTGCGAAGTTGTGCAGTTTTCGCTTTCCCCAGCTTAATTACCAGGTTGGTTCATAAGTTCATAGAGTTTTAATAAATCAACGAAATGACAAAATGAGCAAAATTCAGTCAATAAGTCTGTTCCGTTGTTGCGCACAACCTTCTGGCACCTTGCTATCAGATTTTCACATCCGTTTTTCCGAAAGTCAGCGGGTCTGGTCCCAAAAATCGTCTAACTGGCGCCTGAGATCGTCTTCAGAACCAAAATAGACGCGTTCATATGAAGTGTGATAACTAGAACAGATGATGATGATATGCTAGAGAGCAATCTTTGGAGTACATCAAATACTAGTGTATCACCCCGTCAAGTCTTGCAGGCAGCTGTGACGATGATTGCCAAGCCAAGTAGGGGTGAAATTTTGTTAAAACTCACTCGTCCTGCTTATTAGGCCTTTCTTGCAGTGATAATTCGTTTAGACTTGCAATCACGAGCGCACGGTATGAGGGACCGTCATGTTTTTGTCTAGCAACTTTCAGTGCAAAAACTCCTGCACAACCTGCGAAAAGTCTTGTTCAGAGGACACCTGCAAACCATTGGTTTTTTGAAGCAAACCAATCCTTTTTTATCTCATATGGATAACGAGAAAATGCCATCGCACAGAATCGGCAAAAAAATTTGCGCAGAATTCATTTTTTCGTAAAGAAAAAATGAGCAAATGCCGAAAATGTTTTTTTTGCCCTTTGAGAAATCCTTCGGAAATTAAGAAATCAAATCAGATCAGCTTTACATCGAAAGTAACTACCTAAACTTTTGCAAGCTGAGTCCCGGCTCGGCACAGGTGGCTTACGGAGTAAGCTGGATATCGTTTTGGAACAAAAAGCAAGCGGGTTATCGTTCAAGCGGAAACCTCAGCTCCCCTCCCCCCTCCCCTCCCACGCACACGCAGTCGCCTTCTGCCTTCATGCCACCTACCTTCTACAGAAGACGCAAATCGTTATTTCTGCCTTATCGATCTGCGAAAACCAGAAATTTCCTGTTTCAACATGTTCGCCGTTTAAGCGCGCGAATTCAAACCTGCCCGAAATAAACAAAGACTTGCAGCAAAGAGAAAATGAAATGCAAGAAAAACTATGTGAGCTGAAGGCGTGGCAAACTTTTCGCAAAGTCTTTCTTGGCTTTCCAGCCACCTGGACAGCCACCTGGGGAGGTATGCCAATCCACCGTTTTGAAAGAGGGTGATCATTTTCTTTAAAAAAATGATTGCCCGGCCGGGTTGGTCGTCCGACCCGTAATGTATGAATCTGCGGCCAACCCAATCATTTTTCTATTGAAAATGATCGCCTGCTTTCAAAACGGGAGATTGATGCATACCGCCCCTGAGGTGGCTGTGAAAAGAAAAAGTCATATACTTCTCTTCCTTCACATAATTTTCTCACATGTTCAACAAAATTTTGTTCTACATCGAAACCCCTGCAACTGAGTTTTGAGTCTCACTAAACCCCCTTTTCTTCGCCTAGTTACAACCCTCCAAATATTTTGTATGGCGGCGGCAAGCCTGCTCCAAGCACGCAAGGACGCGCCGAACACAGCATGCCGCCAGTTCGCTGAAAACGAACATGTCTAGTTTTCTTTCGTCTGTTCGAAGTTGCTTTTATGTTTTGTTCCATTGCTTTTCCTTATTCGTTTTGATCCATTCACGATCACGTCATAGGTGATGTCGTATTTTTCTGCCGAAGTCTACAGGGACTTCGTTTTTGAAAAATTGAAAAAGCCACCTCATACCGAGCCCTGAGCTGAGTGCGAAAATTCAACAGCGCGCAACTTCCGATCACCGCCTATTCTGGCAATGGTTTGGTCGATTTATCAATACGCAGCTTACGCCCCACACCTTTATCCACATGTGCATATGCGACATACGCAACGTACGCGATGTACGCCATATGCAACGTACGCCATGTACGCGGACGCCGCGTCGCGCAGTCCGGTCCAACCCATTCCTTGCGCATTATATATGATGTCTTCAATGAATACGCGCATTTACAGCATACTACTCACCTCCAGCTGTGATGATGACATTTGGAAATGCTTCTTTTGCTTGTCTCAACTGACGAGCATGCCCGTAGTGAAAGAGATCATACACTCCTTCAGTAAAAATATGGATAGGCCGATCCTTTGGATCTGAAAATTTGCCTTCGTCAGATATAACGAATGCACCAAATATGCTCTAGAGCGTTTCAATAACATACATTCACCACGCAGCAGTTGTGACAAAGTATAAGGTGTAAAACCAGTTTCTTTGATGTCGCCGCTGGCCATCGTAATGCAAATCTAAATGATTGAGTTTTTTGGAGTACCCCAAAATCCCATAGACAAGAGCGGTTTTACCGGTAAAAAATGAATGAGGACTGCCTTCCTGCCACGTGTCAGAAAAATATTAACACGTTTTGGTCCATTTTGACATGTTTTTTTTTCGAAATCACTTCCGGTGAGGTAAAAGAGCATTTGTGATCACACCTAGAAGCTGTTTGATTGGTTTGTCTGAGAGCAAACAATTTGAAATTTATATCAGAACATCTTGCTTTCAGCAACAATTCAGCATTGTCCTTTCCTTCAAACTTTTCGTCTTGCGAATTTAGCCAGATGAGACTATAAATGATGGCTTAAAGTTCCTTGCTATTGCATGTTTTGTCATTTAGATGATGCGATCCTAGTCCATTTCTCTACTCTTGGCAAGCCTAATCTGTTTAATTAGTAACAGAATGACGTTATTATGATAACAGTGCTCATTTTTGATAGTTTAATGGGAAAATGGGGTCACTATTGACTAATAATGAGATTGAACTTACGTCGCTAGGTAGGGCAACTCAAACTCTTGGTTAAACCTGTTAAACAAGCAAATGACACGTCAAATTTTTTTGACAAGTGGCAGAAGGTTGGCACTCCTTTCTATGAAGTCGGAACCAAATATGGTACGAGGGAAGTAGCAATATGCTTCTTTGAAAAAATGGGTCCGGATAACGGAAAAGTACCGAAGAAGTTTAGAAGAAGCTCCGCCCCTGAACTCTAAACCCCGCCCACTTTATAAACAATTCTTATAGAAAAATAGCGATTTTAACGGAATTTCGGAATTTCTATATGAATTGTTTATTAAGTGGGCGGGTTTTAGAGTTGAGGGGCAGAGCTTCTTCTAAACTTCTTCTCCGATTTTTATTTATCCATCCATCAAGTTAGAGGGGTGACTGTATTCAATTTCAATTTTTCCAATTCATTTTTCACCGGTAAATTAAACCGCTTTTATCTATGGGATTTTAGGGTATAATCGAAGAGAAGATTTTTTGTATGAAGATAAAAAAGGTTTTAAAATCTTGACTTCGACTAGCAAATTGGTGTTACTGGACACAGAAATGGCAGAAAATGCAGTCTAGACTAGTAGCATAGGAGAACTTCTTTACGGCACAGAGGAAAACTCCCATTTCACAAAAATGGTACTATGCAAGATGTTTACTGATGTTCGATATCTTATTATCTTGTTAAAAGGAAAAGCGAAAACGAATCCACGACTTCTTGATGTTACACTGTACTGGTAACTGCTAGGTTATATTTCAGAGAAAGAGAGAGAGAGAGAAAGAGAGAAAGAGAGAGAGAGAAGTGAGAGTCCAAAGTGAGCGGAAGAGAAGCTTATACCTCCGAGAACATTTTTACGGAGACATATAACTAGAGTTGTTTATTTTAGAGGTTTGGATTGTTGTCTACAAAGCGACCTTTTCTAACTATTAACTGCTACACTATTCAATGATCAAATTCAGAAGCGTTTTCACGGACTGTGCAATTTAATCACGGATAACATGATTTTGCCATTGTAACTGCATAAATGCTCTACAGTGACATTTCCAAGCGTTTGGAAAGCGCATGAGCAAGTCTGAAAAAAGATTTTGAAAGCTACTCGGCCTTGGCTTGAAGTAAATCGCTTGAGGCCCGAACAAATGCCTCTAACTTTCCAGTGAACGGTTCAAAAGGCAGACTCTGGCTGGGCTCAGGCAGCGTGCACCTTGGCAGTGACACTTCCCATTATACCCTTTGTTGTGACTGAATTGAAAAATTTAACGCTAACGACCAGGTGGAGAATTGTTAAATTGATCCTCTTTCATGGAAATTGTTTTTTAGAAAAAGGAAGAAAAGACGTCAGCTATTAAAACTGACGTTGGAAGGAACCTTTAAGTGAAATCTTGAACATCACATAAATAGTCTTTCATGAGTCTGTATAGCATTTATAAAAGAAAAATAGCTTTTGTACAAATTCAGATCACGTTTATCATATTTTCTAGCTATTAGATTGTCATAAAAGTACACCGTTTTTCTAAACAAATCAAATTGTTTTTGTGTTCTTAGCGGACTTGCGACCATTCAATAGAGTAAAACAAGCACCACATAACGCCAACAAAGACCCACCCAAGTCTTAACCCAGGTAAAGTCCAAAAACTAAATTCCGATTCACCCTAAATATGAGATTTCCTTCCAGAAAATATCTGCGGACCTCCAAGTGGACATTATAATTGACACACAGTAGACCGAAAAATGCAGTTGGTGGATCTTTTTTCGGTGCGCAAAGTCAGAAATTATCAAAGTTATTTTTTCAAGGCCTGCAGTACACAGTCACAAGTGAGAAGCTTGGGCGAAGTTTGCCATTTTTGGATCACCTTTTTTCTTCTATGCGCGAAGGTCAACTAAATGCATTTTTGAGGACTTTGTTTACTGTATAGTGAAGTTGGAGTGCGTAGGATTTTTTTTGCATAAATACAGGTGATGAAAAAATTTTAATCATAGGTTCAAATTTTATCCGAACTATTATTTAGACAGATTTTAGCCATACTGTAGAGCTTGCTTCGCTCATTAAAAATAGACCCTTTTCCTAAACAAATTAAATTGTTCTTATATTTCTAGCAGACTTGGGATATCATACAACAGATTAAAAACAGAAAAAAACCAGAGTACTTCGCTCTATCGAATGGTATCTTAACTCAGCTAGGGAACCAAAAGCGGCTTGATTTAGATAGAAAAGGCATTTACTTTCGGAACAACCTAATACTTTTCATTTTGCTACCTAACCCCTGCTCGAAAGGTAGCTTTTCGAGCTTTTCTACCTGCCAAAGGATTGAGTTTCGGTAAGCTAAAGTTATCCTAGCCACATCAAGTCCATTACTATATACAACCGTTGCGACCGATCACATGCAGATATAGGGAATCTAGGGACAAAGTTCACTGGTACGAACAACCGTAAGGCTTGTCAGAGTCGTAAAAAAGCGAAAGCGTCGAGTGTTCGCCAGCTCGATTGACAAAGGGCAATAAAAAATTGCAAACTTTGTGATTGTTATCTTCAGTAGTAAGGCGTGGTTTTCGCATACAATTGTATGTGGATAGTTCATGAATTTGGTTGAACTATTTGGAATGTTTGAGTCTTTGGTAAACTTCTCTTTTTTCTTTTCTTTTCATGTAATTCAAAAGTCAAGAGCTCTTTTTTTCAAAGCTGGTGTAACGAAATTAAGCTGGGCGGTTATTCGTTAGACTATGATTGGAACCGTAGCTGGACTTTTACCCAATAACGCCTACTTTCAACGCCCTTCCAAACCGGCATGTGTGGTAGTCAATTAAATCTCTTACTAAGCATTTATCAAGCAGTTACAACCAAACATAGAGCGTAAATGTATAGCGGCAGACAGCAATAATGGGCGGAATAAAGCATAGGAATGGATAGATAGGAAATGAGATAGGAGTTAAGTTATCAGATGAAGATGACCAAACAGGAGGGAGCTCTTGCAAACTTTACACCGATACAACCTCTAAGTAAAGAGAGCACATGTAAAAGAAAAGAGAATAATGGAGTAAACAGATTACGTATATAAGAGGTATTAAAATGAGTGGATGAAGGCTGAGCCGGCCGGAGCCGGCTCGCTTGTTGGTGGTGTCTCACTCTGGCCCTTGGGGGCGGGGCTTAGTTGCTTATATAGTTAGCGGGCGGGCGGAGCAAGAGGCAGGAACCAATAGCGCATTACCGTAGCCAGCGCTTTTCCTACACTGGGAAGAGTTGTTAAAGATGTGGAATCTTGCAAAAAATGCAAGGGAATTTTCCAGCGATGGAAATGCCCAAGCCAAATTTTGAAATGAAAAGAAATAGAAATAGCTTTCGCGTCTTTTCACCTTGGCAGCATCATTTCGAATGCACATAAATTTTTCAGATGTTCCCTCCAATGATGGACGATTTTCAAACAAATTCATGAGCCCATAAACTATGTCAAATACGTTCATTGAAAAGAAAAAGCTGGATAATGTCTTTGGAGAAAGAGGGAGTAGAATAAGCTGATTATACCTGTAACATTTGCGAATGTGGTAAAAGTGAGAAAAATAAAGGATATTGAGATTGAATGGGTTACAAAGTTTTGTTGAATTTTTTCAGAAACTCACTGATGCAAGCGTTTTTGACAAAATTTGTTAAGTATGTCGTAAACTTTCAAAGTTCAAACTAACTAATAAGATCACGTCAAACAAAATTCAAGATCCTAGAGAACTTTCAAAGTTCAAACTAATTAATAAGATCACGTCAAACAAAATTCAAAATCCTAGAAAGGCTTCCCTAGTGCAAAAAAATGCTGTTTTCGAAATTTCAACGCTTTGCGTGAGTCGTTTGAAAAATATTTTTCATCAATTTGCCAAGCCAAGCGATTTGAAGGCGCAAAGTTCGTTTAGAAGCTCACTTCCAATTTCCAAGAACACAAGTAGCAACCACTTGGTTGTGAAGCTGTAGAATGAAATGATGAAGTACCAGAATGGGAGGGTGTATTTACAGATAACTCGAGTATTATGATATGAAAAAATTGAGAGTTCATTCTCGCGTACTCTCTTTCTCACGTACTATACAATTGACTAAAAATATTTTTACATGTAGACCTTGAAAATCATCACTTTGTGTAGATAATTAATTTTTCCACCATTCGTTGGCGGAGAGACAGTATTCTGTAACTTTTTTGGGCCGAAACAAAAGCCACGATCTTAGTGATATTTAGAAATTTATTGGTGAGGAGTCATCACTCGAAAAGAACAAAAACTCTCAAATTTGCTATATTTCAAGAAGTACTTGAAATTCACGTATTTAGCGACTATAGAGTTCAATTGCTAATTATGTAATAGTCACACTTACAATATTTTGGGTTTTGAGACAAGTCTTGCAGCAAGAATTTCAAAAATTTGTTTATTACTGCTTAAGCAACCGTTTCAGTCTGTTCGTAATTTTTCTGAAATATATAATTTATTTTGTATTTTAACGCATATTAGAAATCTTGATCTGAACAAAATCAGGATTCAAAAAAAATTTTGAGAGTCTCGGGATCTTACGGAGGCGTCCGATCAGCACAAATTTATATTTGTAGAAAAGAACAGATCATAAAACTTAACCTAAAAATAAAATTGGAAGTTGCTATGAATTTTAGCATTTTGAACAATCGAGAACCAAAAGAACTATTTTGTTACTAGGTTGCTCGTTCTGTCCCATTTGTGATTTTTTTTATCTAAATTCTTATAACATTTTTCAAAAGCAACAATTTTGAACAAATTAAAGTTAAATTAAGCAAGATTATGGCTATCACAAGCACTGTATGCCATGTAAGGAAGGCAAGAGAGAAAAGGGAAAAATTTTTCGAATTCTGCTAGCTTTTCTTCAAAACCATCCAGTTTGTTAATACTTCCATATGAAGATGGGCAGACATATTTGGCTGTCATCATTAAATAGCCCATACTTCAGAGGTTCTTTTGCGGCTAGTGTTTACAAAGGAGTTTGATTTTTTCTCATTCTGTGTTACTTTCATTTCAAAATTCGTTCAAAAATGTTAAGACACTGTTTCAGTCTTTATCATATTTTGTCTAATGTGTGTAAATAACATATGTAGAACTTCAAAAAAATTCGCCACATTTGGAGGAACTTGGGGATTTTTGATTCCAATGCAAAACGAATAAATGCAACCTAATATCTGGACAAGGAAAAGATGAGATGCAGATCAAAGACTAATAAAACATTTTTGATCACCCAAACTAGAATGATCTTCAGACGGCACTGAGCAACTACGTAAATAAACGAAAGATCATCGGTTGCTAGGACATTCTATAAGCGAACGAATGCAACAACGGCTTTGCATAATAGCAGGTTACTTCGGCTCTGAGCTGACCTGTGGTCATATGACAGATCAGTGGCATATCGAGCCCCCCTCCCCCCTTCCCCTCCCCCTTCCGAGAATGGGTCTCGAAGTTGAAAGTTGAATTTGGAACTTCGGAAAAGTTTGAGAGTTATTTATATGAGATAATAGATGTGGAAAAGGCTTTTTATGTTTGAATAATTAGAATGTTTTCGAATTTTTTGAAAATGAAATTGAAAAAAAAATGAAAAAAAGCATCCTTGTGAGAATCTTTTAAGGTGTGTGGCGGTAGCCACGTCCCTTTCTTACAAGAAAAGGGTACTTGGTCGAAGTGGCCTTCCCATATGGAATGTGCACTATTTTATAGAGCGCTGATTCCAAATCTGCTTTCTTTATCTGCAAAGCGCTTCTGGAATGGGAGTTTTGTGAGTTTTTTGTGGTTAAAATTCAATGATAAGGCTAAGATAAAAATAGGTGTTGAACTCTTTCCTGCGCTTGAAATGAGTAATGACTGATATGAGTTTATTAGATTAAAGGTCTTTATTCGATGAAACGCCCTAGTAGTAATCATGGCCCCGTTGGAACTCACGGACTAAGATTCTGAATAATTTTGTTGTAGCGACGCTTTCAAATTTTTGCATCAAAAAATTTCCGTAAGTTCACTCCCAGAAGCGCTTTGCAGATAGCGAAAGGGGACTTAGAATCAGCGTTCCATGCTTTATGAAATAGTGTGCATCTCTTATGGAAAGGCCACTTCGACCAAGTATCCTTCCCTGGTTAGAACTTTGAGGTTAGGAACGCAATAATCATTTTTTTCTCGTGGCTCACGTCACACCCTAATTGGAAAAAGGAGTTTTTGCCCCCCCCCCCCCCTTTGAGCAGAATCTTGGACTTCCAGTTTAGAACGGTCCATAAATGTCGAAAAAATGTAGCGAATACTATGCGATTTCCACTCTATCGTATGTGTTTGTTGGAAGTATATGATTTGATATTGTGAATAGATAGATTCAGGGCCCGGCACGCGTTGGTTTAGAGGAATTTTGAAAACGATGTCCCCTATGACTCGGCAAAATTTTACGGAGTCCCCTTTGACGCTAAAATCGGTACGCCATTAATTGTAAGCCTTTATTCATTCTAGAAACGATACAAAAGCAAAAAAAGGCACGGTTGAGATAGTCAATGAGCAAATTAAGTGAGCTGAGAAAAATTGGAAGAGAAACTTAGGAAAATGAGGTGCGTGGGTATACGGTAGTTCACATTTCAGAAGACGAAGTGGATGTTAAGATGAAAGCCAAAGGCATACCTTCAAATCAGACTTATCAGTGTATTAGATCAGAATGAAGGAAAACTAGCATGATTCTGCAAGTAATTTTTGACCACCGAACCGTATGCTACCGTGTTTACAAAGAATCCGAATATGCAGAGTATGCATTATCAATGAGACTAAGGTAAGAAATTTTTTTTGGAATTTAGGTCAAAAGAGTTTGACATTACGACAATATTACGCTGGAAGTCGATCACGAATAACATACATATATTCTGCATGAAACGCTTCTCAGTGAATACGGTAGATACACGGTAACGGTAGCCAAGGATAGATACCTCGTACATGAAAGTAACATGTAGTAACATGCCAATTACGAGATGAAATCAATTCTTTACGCAGTTTTTGGTTTAGATACGATGGACATCTCCAATCTACTGTTTGAGTCATTGGGCTAGCTGCAGTAACTCTTTGAACAACTCTTTAAAAACTCGAGAAAAGAGAATGTAGTTTCTGGGACGAAGCTCGAAAAGTGCTTCTCCTAACTAGCGCAAGAATAAGAAAGGCTTGTGCAACAACTGTGATCTTGACTCAGTGCCGTAGAACTAAAGTAACAGCGCATAAAGGTACATTGTACCAGATAGATGACATTCTATTTTATCATGACACTCTATACAAATGGATGGCATTCTATTATGATCTTTTCATCATTTCCGCTTGACCAGAGTATCACATGCCTAACAAAAAGTTCTTGAATAATTAAAAATGCGGCGGCAAACATTCAACGGGTAGAAATAGACTTTCTGTTAAAATGAGGATACGAGTTTTAGTTTCAACGAGAACTATCACAGCAAACTAATGGTGGTCTAGAATGCATCCATGTAGAACGATTACATGATGGGATCGCGCCATACTCCTCACATGAAACACATGCGCGAACTATGTAGTGTACATACTGCAGTGAGCATACCAAAGAATCGAAATGGAAGCAAGGAACAAGGCAGAAAGGAGGAAAGAGCAAGGAAAGGTAAAAGCAGAGAAAGTATAGAAAAGAACTTCCTAATTTTTACATATGTTGTGTTTCATTTTACAAGTAGCATGAAAAAGAAAAAATCGCGCCTTCCTTCCATAGAGGTTGACCGTAGGTTTGAAGTCGAGTGAAATAAGTTTGTTTCCATGGGAGCTCAGTCCTGAAAACAATCTTTTATAAGTGTAGTCTTGAGAACTATTGCGCTTCTGAAGTCCGCTCATGAGCGTACGGCAGTGGCTGAGTCCATTAAATTCGAGAAATGGCACATTTTTCCTGAAAAGTTAAAAAATTAAGCAGAAACAAACAAGGAGAAAAATGAGAAGGATGAAGGAAGAGTGAGCACATGAGAGAACCACCGCATATAAAATAACTAGCTTGCTTATCCGGCTTCGCTCGGTCCTGTCAAAACACTGTAATAATGTCCCTGTACAGCCTTCTCCTGTGCCCACTTCTAACTTTATTTCCCGTTTCCTGTGTTGTTTTCGAAAGCATCATGCCCACTTACCCCCTGCGCCAACTCCCAGCCCCGTATCTCAAACTTTGCAAAAAAATAGATAAAATCGATAAAAGTAAACGATAATCTTGAAAACTAATATTGTATTCGGAATCCCCATGCTCGATTACCCCCCTCCCCCCCTCCCCCTGTGCCAACTCCCAGCTTCGTAGGTGAACTCTGGAAAAAAAATCGATAAAAATCGATAAAATTGATATGGGTCGATGACGAAAAGTAGCCTATGACACCTGCCGGGGCCGGAAGTGTATGTGTGTCAAGTTTGGTCCGGATCGGTTCAGAAATGGAATTTTCTATTCGGAACATACGTACACACATACAGACAGACATACAGACAAACAGACATTCAGCTTTATGTATAAGATGCAATCGTCTCCACTTCAAAGGACGCCATCAGGTCAGACATGTGATTGGAGCGCCATATCTATCAATGAGCTGATTTACATATTTTTGGCTCAAAAAAGAGAAGAGGAAATGGTTTGATTTGCTCTTTTCACTTTATGATAGATTTTTGAGCGTTCTAATAGTTCAAATCAAAAAGGGAACTCTCCGATATTTTTTGCCAACATATCCGAGAACGAGTACTCAGACACTTTTTGAAACTTTTTATATAATGTACTTTGGACCAATTTTATATACATTTAGCCCAAATTTGGGGTCATGAAGCTGTTTGTGCGTTGTAAACAAGCCATCTGTTTGCTTTGGTCTTGCATTTGAAATTCGCGCGCTTACGCAAGACACCTTCGCGTGAAACATGTCATGTTTGCTGTCATTAATAACTCTTGCTTTTAGTTATAATCTAGAGTCCAATAATCCAGTTGTCTAACCCAACCTGTCTTCGTTTTTGCGGGCTCCGCCCCGGACCCCGCGGAAACGAAGTCCCTTTGCTTTTAACT